AGTAAGAAAAAAATATATTTTAGAAAACAACAATTCTTCTTTACACTAAAAATATTTGAAAATTTTAAGCTAAATTCTGATTCTTGGAATATTTTACGATTATTTTCTCCCATTAAACAAATTATATTATTATTTACTATCTACATGGATATTAAATGACGAGTTGTACATAATTATTTGTTAACTGTCTTGTTTATTATCGTCTCGACTGTTGAAATCCAGTTGTAAGAAAATTAATTAAGCACAATAAACTTAAAATTAAACTCGTTTAAGGATATAAAATGTATACAAGGCCATTTGTAGATGATATTTTTGGGGAAAAGGGTTCAAAATATGAATACATTCTAATTTTAGTTAATGCTGAATTGACTTTTCGATATTTGATTTAAAGTTAAATAAAAATAAGCTTTATTACAATCACTTATGATTAAAAATATTTAAGTGGGTGTTAAAAATTATTTTAAAATGTTTAAGAAATTTCGGTGAAGAGGTATGGAGGTTTGAATATACCTATATAATAATAATTTACAATTATTAAATATTGTTGCTTTTGTCTCTATGACTCTTCCTCATATGAATATTTGAGAGCTGTAAAGTTAAAATAGAATTCCGAAAACCAGCGCAGTTTACGAAAAATATTCAATTAACTTGTTTACGGAATTTGAATGACATCCAAACATCGTGTCTTGCATTGTGCTACAAAGTTTTAGACGATAGAGGAACACGTTGTTAATTTACGTCGAAAACATGTTTAATGAAAATATGTTACGGGGATTTTTTTTAACCGGAAGCAAAGACATAGGATGAAATATTGCTGTTCTATCTGATATAAATCATGTATGCTAAAAATACGTTGACCGATCTATGGTTGTTACATCATATGATGTGTACAATAGCGACGATATGTTTTCGTCTTATTTCAAATGACCTCATTTTATTATTATTATTTAATTTATATTATAATGTACAACATATTAAAATATCTTGAATTTTTAGAATAAAGTAAATATAAATTAATTTACCATCTTACGCAGTGCAAATAATATAGGTAAATAGTTAACACCTTAGGGTTGTATAAGTAACTACTATTTTGTATAAATATTTCTTATTTATTGGAGCATTTGAGTTTCCTTTCTGTTTGTTGGATTACTAATTTTTATAATTTTTTTTTTTTTAGTTTCTACAGTCCATTTAGGATCTTTGCTGCTTCTACTACTTAATACCATTTATCTCTGTCTACATACCCTTAATTAGGTATAGAAAATTAGAAAAGACAATTATTATACTTTTTCTATAAATTCACTAAGGAATTTAAGTATATATTTATAGATACGAATAATATGATTATATGCATATATTATGTAAATTAACATATTGTTATATTGAAATTCTAAAAATTTAACTGGTGTCATGCTGAATCATCTGTAAACTGTGATTAAAGAATATTGCAGCTCAATGTCTAAATGCAGCACAAACAAGAGTAAAAAGCGTATTTGGTTATAAACTAATAAATTACTGTTATTACTTCGTTTAACAATATTTATATATATTATTTCGTTCTTATATCATACCCGTAAGCGCGTTTATGAATTAACTTCGAAAAATTCGAAAAATAATAATACATAATATCATTAAATAGGAAAATGTATTATTTGTTTTAAGACTTCCATGTGAAAAATCAATATATCTTGGCCCATGTAAAACCATTTGTTATCATTGCTAATCTCTGCTGATACCAATGTTGTTGTTTATTTTTCTTATTCTTATAATGCCGTATCTAAAGTTAAAATAATATACAATATCCGTGTATGAAGATGTGACAACACGAGGAAATACTTAAATGGAAAAAGTAGGTTAGGTTAGGTTAGGTTAGGTTAATTCATTACAGTAATTCATTTAATTGTAAATACTCATTATTCAGAGAAATATTAACGTTAAAAAACATATTTTTTCTTCAAAAACGTTGTTTTATAATGTTTTCAAGTAATGAACTAAACATATTTACTAAAAAGCTAAAATTTTAAGATGATGAGAACTTAATATAATAATAAACATGTTCGAATAGATACATATTTAAAGTTTTGATCGCTTTGGTATAAAGCTTAGATGCTTAACCGACTACCTTTTACCCCACCTCCTTAAAGTAATAATTCACTTGTTATTATTTGGATACATTGAGTTTAAAAAACAAAAAAAAACACTTAATATATGATAAATGCATTTACAATTTTTAGTTTCTTTCTTCATACAATAATTTCAAAATTTAAGAACTTGAGAAATTAAGTGTATTTTTAATAAAAGTTTCTATTGCTGATTTTTTGGAAGTCTCTCCACTTGCTTTTATTTATTAGAATTAAAATATATATTTTTTTTAATAATATTATTATGAATTATATCTATTATACTAAAATTTAAAACAGTATTCACTACTGAAATTTACAACTATAAAGCATAAACCACAATAAAACTGAAAATAAGATTTAAGAATAATTCACCGAATTAGGAATAGGTATTTAAATATTTGAATTTGATTCATTAATAAACAAAAAAAATAAATAAATGATTATAATTTAATATAATACTAAGTACCTAATAACTAATAATAAATAATATTCACGAATTTAAAATTTAAATAAATAACTTTAATTGTGGAGCGATGCAGAAGCTGCTGTACAGCGTACAGTGTTGGTGACACCAGCTTTCATTTAGATAATACTTGATGAAATTGACTTTCGTTGGATTTGTAATAAGTGTAAATTGATATCACTGCTGTGAAACTAAGTATAATGTTTGATATTTATAATACACAAGTAACCGATAGAAATATTTGTATTCAACATGTATATAGCTAGTTATTTTTAACGAGTCGTTATTACGCGTTTAAGCGTTTCGGTATTAAAATGTCGTTTTTGAGACAAACACTTCATTGCAAGCCTTGTTACCATATTCTCCTCAAAAGTAATCAGAAACCGGAAGCAGACATCGTGTGGTATGGTTCCATTAACCCCAATAATGCATCTTGTCAGTGTTATTTCATCATCATATTATAAATATTAATTATTTGTACGCGTATAGCATATATATTAATGTACCTATTAAGTATTAACTTACCTACGTTAAGTTCAATGTTTTGTATAGTTCACTCCAAACGAATTATAAACGAAGTTGGTATAAACGATATCAAAATTTATTTTAAATGTATTATAAGAAAATAACATATTATGCATATGAGAAAATAATGATTAGGTATTTTAATCCAAATCTAATCAATTATAATATTATGTCGAGTTAGAAAAATAAATTTAAAATTAGGTAAAGTTTATCAAATCATCGTAAAATATAATTAGCGCGTAATCCTTTAATGCATGATAATTTTGTATAGTATATAAATATCAGTAACTTATTATTTTTCTTTCAAATTTGATTATTAAAATATTTATTGGATTAGAAAAAAACGTATTAAATTATTACTTACGTAAATAAATGTTTTATTTTATAAAAATGTACGTCCTATTCTGTTTGGCGAATCAATAGGTACGCTACGTTATTAATGATGTTATTATTTAAAATAATTTTATCATGATGAAAAATATAATATTTTTCATAGAAAACACGTGTATTCGTTTTTATTATCAATGATGTTGCTTATTAAAATCGTAAAAATTACACCAAGTCACCAAGTTATAATTAATGTCGAAATGTGTTGATTATTGAATACTCATCAGTTATCATTTATTATGAATTATGAAAATTTATCGAAATAAACAAAATAAAATTCATAATACACACACACACACACACATATATATATATATTCAAAACTATGATTCAATTATGATGATAAAAAACGTGTTTGATCACTTTAATCTAAAAATGGTAGAATAATTATTTAAACATAAATTCCGAAAAATAAGAACTTACAGTAGCAAATACATATTATATTACGTGTGTATCATAAAACGTACTTCAATGATTTTATGCAGCGATCTGTTATATTTACGCGCAGTTACAGAATAGAAGAATGGATTAAACTTAAATTGGTATTTTTTATTATGCTGAATATTTATTAATTTTATTGAAGGTAATCACAAATTATGTAATATGTAGATAGAAAAATGAATGAAACGCCATTATTTTGCTGTGAAATAGATGAATTGCACAAAAAAAATAATCATTTAAAAAAAATAATAAACATTTAAATTAAGTCGTTGATACTGTTGATAGTATGGGGGCGAATCAGTACTAATATTGCAATATAGTTGTGGTTTCGTGTTACTAATTATACTTGTACAGTAAGTTATACGTGTTTATATAATATATTATTTTTGTTAAAATTTAAATTTGTTGCCCAACCCAATAATTGTTATTTATACTGTACAAGCATGTATGTCCGTTATACGTGTACAATAGATCCTCGATTATCCGAACCTCTGTTATACGAACCCTCTATTATCCGAACTACAATTAACGTATCCGAACGTTAAAACTCGTTAAAGGATTCGATAGTCGTATCGATAATTTTTTCAAAAAAACATAATAAACATAACATTTATGTTTCTATGTATGTAATGTATTTCTAATAATGCAATGTAGATATGTAATTTTAATAAAATATTATTAATAATAATAACAATAAATATGCAATATAAAATATTTGACTGTGTTTTTATAAAAATTTGTTTATTGTGTTTTATTTTTATTTCCAGTATCTGAACATTAATTGCGTATCCGAATTACGCGCGGTCCCAATTAGTTCGGGGATTACCGAGGTTCTACTGTATTAAAATATTCAACATTTAAATGAAACACGAATTTATGAGTTTATTATACTATTTAGTGCTTTACGACGGAAACGGACAGAGTTTACAACCACATTCAACCGCGTTTGCGAACCGCAGTTATGCTCTCGACGACGTTAAGTTCTAATCACCGACCACTACATCCCGACTGGACTTCGCGGCCGGGCCGCACCCAATGCTCGCGAACCGTCGACGACTTACCGTGCGGTGCGTATATGTTCAGGTACAGACAGTCTTCACTCTGGTTGCCCAGATACGGCGTCAGCCGCTTCAGGTAGTTCTGCCGCACGTTCGAAAGCCGCTTGTTGGCCACCAGCAGGTCGGGCGGCCGCTGCGGGCACACCGGCTTCAGGTACTCGGCCCGCAGCGGCCGGCAGTGGCTCCGGTCGAACGACCCGTCGCCCGCCTTCGGGCACCACGTGGGCGACTCGCCGGGCGGCATGAACCGTTCTTGGGACGCGGCGTACGGCACGCCCAGGTACACTTCGACCCTGTCCAGCCGCTGCTCGGCGCCGCCACCGACGGTGGTGATGAGCCCTTTGAGCGGGCCCTGCCGGTCCAGCCACACCGTGTCGGTGTAGCCGAGCACTTCGGGACGGACGCCGCCGGCCACCACGGCCGCAGTCACCAGGACCAGGGCCAGCGTCGCCGTCCCGCCGCCGCCCATGACGGCCGTCGCCGCATCGAACCCGATGGCTGCTCGACGAACCACAACCGCCGTTCTCTATATACGCCGGCCCCCCGGGTACCCGATGAGTATGATATTACGCTGTCGCGCGGACGTTTCGCACACGCATTACGATATTACAATAATATTACAAACGGTCGCTAAGCACAGCGCACGCACGCGGACACGGACACGGACACGGACACGGACACGGGCACACGTGTTCGCGCTCAGTCTCTCACTGACACGCGCGCGCGGCCGCGGCGTACACAATACGCACGGCCGCCGAGCTATTTAAAATATGTTCCGCCCGCCGGACGCGGCCGCAGCGTTCGGGCGGTGGCGGGCCTGCCAACGTAAATACTCGCGACGTGTTTCTCACATTAAAATAAATAAATAAATAGACCGACGGTTTTCGTGTGACGCGACGGCAAATATGACGTCGGTGTCCGATGCCGATCGTGTTGCCGGTGGAAAATTCGATCCGACGTCGCGTCGATATGATATTATCGCAAAGTCATAGGCCCGCGATCGGTTTCCTCCAATTTTGCGTCTCGCGCGACTACCGTCCGCGACAATATAATATTATTGCATTGCAGACGACAGGTCGGAAAATGTAGGTACCTAAATACGCTTTACTGTATTATCGCGAACGGCGTGACAATAGTTTTTTATTAAAACAACCGATTGACATTTTTTCGGTTCGTCCCACTACTGCAGTTTTCCACGTCGTTGTAATATTATGTTATGCGTATAAGCATGCGGTTCAAAAATTATTGACACGGATTTTAGTCGGATTTCTGCGTTTCTGCGTTGTAACAGATTAAATTTGCTGACATCGATAGAGAGTATACGCCGCATACTTTTCCAGTATAGATTTGTTTACACTGATTCGTGCAGCTTTGATAAATTTTCTATGTTTGATGTGAATTCATTAGGGCTTAAAAAACTATGAGTTTGTACACATAAGTGCCTACGATCGATCACATTTCGCTATCTCTCACAAATAGACTAAATGCCATTCTACTGTTATATTTTATACACCACAAATTACTATAAATGAGATGCCTATTTAAGGATTTACAGGTGCATATTCTCTTTGATTCTAAATATTCCATAGATAATAATGATAAATTACTATAATATAATGTTATAATATCAACGTATAGTATTATATGGAGTAAGACTAATAAAATTTATAGTTTAAGTAATAAAGATTATGATAGCTATATAGAACATAAATTTAATCGTTTGTTGTAAAAAATGTAAACAAAATGTATCTCGTTCATTACAGTCGCAGAAACATTATTCGTACGACTATGCTTATTAATTTATTATTAAATGTATTGATTTTTTATAGTATTTTAATTTTTGGCAATTGTTTTTATTTATTTTAAGTCTATTGTTGTACGTCAACATTTTGCAGCCCTCTTCTAAAAAATAAAAAAATAAAAATGTATTTATACAAATATACACTCATTAATAGGAAACGAATAAGATTTTAATAATAAATTTATATTCGCATTCCAGCGGAAGGAATAATAGTCACACACGTGGCGCATCTGAAATTCGTAAAGTCGTTCGATATATTGGGCCCATTAAGAGCATTCGTCCCCAGTTTTCGAGTGTAGGTACGTTCGTTTGCTACGACGGCGACGACGCTGCCGCCGCCGTGACCAAGGCCTACACACGTTCTAAATTTAAATCATCACAACCAGAAGCGGCAACTGCTGCAACTATAATACGAGGTATACGACTACGACGACGACAATGCCAAATGTCAAATCCGATTGAATCGATGACCGTCTAACCCTTTTCGATATATCTTCGTCGCGTTCTCGGGAAGAAAGGGAGGGCTTCGATCAAGAACATTTTAAGTATATTATTATGTATTATACGATAATATTATATAAATATATTGTTAATATATTTTTATAATATCAAACATGTGACTACGTAAGTATACCTTAATTAGAAAAGTTTTATTTACAGTTGCATAATTGTGGTGAGCAAGTGGGGAATTTATTGCTTCTAAACAATTTTGCAAGAGGGTATCATTTTTCAACCATCTCCTCAGATATTTTAACAGTAGAAATTTGTAAAAATCTTATTTAGTAAAAACATGTGCTTAAGAAATATTTATAAGATAGGTTAGGTTAGGTTTTCTTAAATTATTTTATGAAGTACATTTATTTCACGTTTATTCTGTTGTATATATTGATGTACTTTCAATGTTATCGCATTATCTGGCTAGCAGAAATAGGCGAATAATATTATTTTAAGAATTATGATTACAAGATTATTGTCTTCCTAATATTTTCAAATAAGTTATGACACATTTATTAAATTAACTCCAACCCTTTACTTTAGAAGTTCATTACTAATCAAGCGATCAAAATATCTACATGTACACGTTTTCTGTAAAAAATCGATAGATCTAAATACATATTATAATATGCCCATACACATTTTACCATTATAGTTTATAATTTATGTAGTATGTAGTATTATTATTACGAATATTGTTTATTCTTAATTATGTGATATTCATCATAAATATTTTAACTCATATAGATTGTAATTAATACTTATAATATTAATTAATGAAGTTTATCCACAGTTGATAAATAAGATAATTATAATTTACAAGGAGTATATAAAGGAATGAAAAAAAAAAGGATAGAAAAAAGTATCTACCTAATAGACATATACATATAAATTATCATACATATTTAAATTAAATTAAAAATACTTTTACATTTAGTTGTAAAAATTACAACAACATAATCATTATAGGTTCATGACATACCAATTGATTATAAAATAATAAGTGTACCAACGTACACAGTTATAAAGACTTAAGTATTACACCTTATTTATAAATTAATCAATAAATAGAAGAGAAAAGTTATAATCAATTAGAGGCTTAATCCCTTTTATCCATTCTTATAATACTTATAAAATCTATATATTTTAATGGAATCGTTTAAAAATGTGTTTACACTCATGTAGAACTTAATTCAATTTTTTTAAATGTTGGCGATATTTGCAATAAGTTTCGTAGAACTAATTTAACCTACGTTACTGTAGTAATAACATACATCTCATTTTTATGTGAATAAGTGTATGTTTAAATCCCAACACATTTCTTGAATATTAAGTTAGGTTTAGTTTAAAGCTGGTTACGAAATGTTTGTATTGCTATTATCTTACATAAGTATATCTTATAAAATGTATAGTATTATTTAATTTTTTCAAGTGATCTTATTTTAAAATATGGTTGTATGCAGTACCTATAACTGCAATATTTTATACACGATAGTATGCACTTATTTTTTTTAATAACATTATTTTATGCTTAAATATGACAGTATTGAATTAAATTATGTACATTTTTATAGATATTTTTATAGTTATTCAAATTATCAGAATTTAATCCATAGGCTCTACTAACATTTTTGATTGCATTCGTTACGGCTAGTTCAAATTACAATAAACATTTGATAAATTGTAATTGGCTTATTACTAAACGATTTGTAAAAATAACAATATTTTTTTCATTTACAGACTTATTAATGGTGCAGTCGATATCTCTATACATATAGGTAATCTGTTGCAGATAATATTGATACACGGTTTAGTTGAAACATATATATATATGAAGTGTATGAAATTTAAAAAGTTACACAGCTTAGTTGTTTAGTAGGTACCTATAGCTATTGTATAAATATAAAACATAAACGTATTAAACTATAAATTTACAGGTAAGCGATGGCCGCATGATATCAGGCGTATACTTTACTTATCAATTTATTATACCTATAGAGTTAAGATACTCCCTGTAATAGCATAAAAAATAATGATAACAAAGTCTTTCCGCAGGAGACGCAATAGGCCTAGACGATATTATGCTTAATAATGCGCGTAGTTTCTATATTTATATGTCGTAGACAGAGTATTTTTTATATAAGTATATATTTATATACTTAAAACAGACATGCTACACATTCAGACACACACAAATTACAGTCAAGGTCTAGACGCATTCCTATATGGATCGGTAAGTCGGCACACGCGCAAACGTGTATTAATTTATGTTTATATACTTATGTACATATATTATAGAACGCGTCTGAGTTTTACGGGTAAATCATCTGCGATATATTATTATACATAATAATTAAGTCTTTCTTTCTACATTGCCGATGAATAGCAACTTAATACTTTGCTCTGTAGTCTATATGACTGACGCCAGAAATTGTAGTAGTAACAGTGAGTACTAAAAAAAAACTCACGACCCCTACATTAAACACAAGGCATTCAATTTGGTGGTGTCAAAATAGTATATTAAATGATAATTCACTATAAATTATAAACTTGATGCATATTTTATTAACCATAAGTTCTTGGTAGTTACACGTCTGTTGGCAGATGGATGACTATCTAAATATTGTAAGTAATGATTTATACTTTGAATAGAATTTATGTTAGTACAAAATATTATTCGTTAAATCCATAAAATATGTTAATAACATAATAATATAATATTCTATTTTCAAATAAATTAATAACAAATTAAATGTAGTGTTAAATTTCTGTTAAAATAAAACACTTTATAGACAGTCACAATATAATAATGTAATGTCCTGTGGAAAAAAATACCTCTATTGGCAATAATGCTATATCATATACTTGAAAAACTTTATTTTTCATAAGCATATTACAACTTCTACTTACAAAGCTCTTAAAGCACTTACACAGTCCGTAAAATACGTGTCTACCGAGTTTAAACTTATTCATTCTCTGAAAATGTTTGAGTTTTATTTCTTTACGGTATAAGATCAATCTTGGAGTTTAGTTACATTATGTATATTGATACGACGTTGTCGGGGATAAAAAAGGAAGGAAAGTGTGCATATTGTTCCAGATTTGGACAGAGTCCTAGTAGTCCTACACTCCGCAGGAAAGGTATATGAGTTTAAGCTCGTCTTCTCTCAGCCAGAGGCACCTTCATATCCGTAAAGTCCGAAGGCATCGCTAGGTGAGTTCGGTTATAAGGCCGAACATTATCTAAGGTCGAAGAGTTTTTACGGCCCTCAAACGTAGACGGGTTTTCACCTAGCTACCAGTTTTGCTTTGAGGTGTATCGTTTCTCTCCACTGACCACTGGTAAGGTCGCGGCACTATCCAACCCGCTGCTTAATATGGTTTGAGCAATCGCCAGGTGATTAACCTTCACCGGCAAGGTGGCTGGGTTTCCAGGAGAATGCTCACCGTTAATTTTTGCCTGATCAGCATTCGATCAATAACCACTTTTGTCAAATAAATGACTGCCGGCCACTACGAATCTGATCCCAGTACTATTTTGTTTATATAAATAGTTGCAATTGGTTATAGATTATAATTAGTAAAAACTTATCACAATTAGTAAAAATGTAGAATTTACATTTTTTCACAAATATTAAAAAAAAAAAAATACAAATTAAAATTAGATTTTATGAACACAACTTCAATGATTATGGTTTGTAAACATGATTTGTTTACTTAATTTTAGACATATTTTTTATATTAATGCATTAAGTCTTAACACTATTGAATATACGTCAGCTTTTAAGTATTAATTTAATCTATTTCCAGTTTTGAAAATAAAAAAAAATTATGAAATTAACCGTTATAATTGTGTTTACATTATATATTTAAATTAAAGCAAAATAGAATACAATAGAAAGATGCTATTTTATCTTTATATGATTTGGTTTAAGACTTCTATGGACAGACGTGTCTGTATGTGTAATTCTAAATTATATAACGTATTTTAATTTTTTTAATTTTAAGTTCTTGTTTAAGAAATATACAATATACATGTTTAACAAATAGATTATTTCTAAAAGTTACTCTAACCGAGGTGGAATCACTGGAACTTCGTGTAGTAGAGTAAGAGTACTAATTTCATTTTATATTAAACTTGGTAATTTAAGCCTCATGCAGATGACCAAGTTCATGTTATCGCGTCTAATTCATATGTTTAAATTAATTGCCTTAATAAAAATGAAATTATAATATTCGTACATAAAATAGTCTAACAAATTTTCGCGTACCGATGGGTAGCAACTCTTTTTAAGATTTCAGAGCATGCTTATTATTTCTTTTTGTTTGCACTCAAACGTTTATTGTAACTTTTAATGACTGCAGATTGTATAAATCTACGTATTATACATCTATTATAAAATCTAATAAATGTAAAATAAAAAAAATATTTACTTAAGTAATAATAAAGAAGAGAGAAAAATAAAAATAATTATAATAATAATAAAAATAACATGAAAAAACAAAACTTATTTGATTAAATATAATTGTACATAATAAGAAATTAATGAGTGTTATAATATACATTTAGAAATAATTATTACTGTATACTTAAAGGCTATTGTAAAACTAATTTTTTTTAAATATACTTTAAGAGTGAATAATTTGAAAAAAATAGTTTCCAATTTATTTTTTTTATTTTTACATTTATTTTTTAGTACAATATTAAATGGTTTCTGTTTGAATAATTTATGTAACTTATCTCTATTTTTAATAGTTTTTACTGTACCTGGTTGTATTCATGGATGAATTTTTTTTTTTTTTATTTAATATGTAGACATGTAGTTTTGTAATAATAGACTTACTTTTTAAACACATTTTGTAATGAAATTGTGAATATATATTTATTAAAATTTGAATTATTACTATCAGTTATAATGTCTGCTCATTTTTTATGTTTAAAAAAAAATCATTCAACTTATTATAAATTAATTCTATTGTAAATAATTGTTACTGTATTCGTATAGTTGCTATTAGTGTTAGAGTTATAATTTATTATCTGTGTGCAATTAAAGAGTAATAGTGTGTTGTTAAAAAATCAACAAGAGATATTTGGACGGAGATCATAATATTTGTTTATAGAAACATTAACGTCTATTGCAGAATCGTGAATACAAAATTAAAACGAATTGTTTGTATCCATCATGCGATCTTACCGTAAAATTTTTTTATGATGTCAGATCCCTTTTCGCCGATCATTATGGTCGCGGCGTTTGTGTTCACCGATACGACTTTGGGCATTATCGAACTGTCGATCACCCGCAGACCGCGCACGCCTTTCACGTTTAGCGCGGTGTCAACGACGGACCGATGATCCCAGGTCGGTCCCATCCGGCACGTGCCCACCGGATGGTAGAACGACGTGGCAATGTTCCGGATAGCGCACACCCAATAGTCCCTGGTGCCCCAGACGTGAGCCACGCAGTCCGGATATGCGATCGGTTCCAGTTTCAATCCCGCGTTCACCATCGGTTCCGTTTTTGACAGTTGCACGACGAAATCGATCCCGCGCAAAAGCGTCTCGATCTCGTCGTTGTGCGACAAATATTTGGTGAAGATCTTCGGACGCGCCATCGGGTCGGCCGACCGCAGAGCCACGCGCCCCGTGCTCCGGCCGTCGACGTTGATCGGTATGGCGAACACAGAGTCGCTGACCGTGTTCAGATCGTCGAACAGCGTTGCCACCCGGTCCGAGAACCCGAAGAAGTTCGACAGCCTGCTCCGCTTGTTCGGCGTGTTCCTCATGCTCTTGTACGGGAACCTGAGGTACACGACCTGCACGTCGGCGTGACCCTTGCCCGCGGTGTCCACGAAGTTTACGAGGTTTGTCAGCCCCAGCGTGCCCACGCCCCGGGACGTCAAGCCGAACGTGGCCCGGGTCAGGTCGGCGCTCTCGCGGGCTATGTCGGCTTGGGATCGGTTTTTCCGGTCGCTGAACACTAGTCCGGCGAACGAAACGTGGTCCTGGTAGTTGTAGCCGACCGGTAAGTCTCTGACCACGTGGATTCCGTGTTGGCGCAAGTGTATCGCCGGACCCACGCCCGACACCATTAGTATCTGAGGGCTCATGATTACGCCCGCGGATAGTATCACTTCGCGGGTCGCGTGCACGCGCCCGGCTTGCCCGGATGGCGAGACGTATTCGACGCCCACCGCCCTGGTGCAGTTTCCGCCGCCCAGCGACTCGGTCCGTCGTATCATTACCCGTGTCACCCTGACGTGTTTCGCCACGAACAGGTTCGGCCGTCCGCTGGCCGGCAACAGGAACGCCTTGAGCGTGCTGCATCGGAGGCCGTCGCGCACCGTGAAGTCCATCGGCCCGTAGCCGATTGCCGGAGGTGCGAACCGATTCATGTCGTCCAGCTCGGCCAACCGGAGCAGCCGGTTGCCGTCCGTGATAGTCACGTACGCCGGGTCGATGGAAACCAGCGGGCTGACGGTCAACGGGCCGCCGCGACCGTGCGGCGTCTTGTCCCGGCGATTGCGGTCGCCCGTGAAGTTCTCGGACTTGACGAAGTACGGTAGCACGTCGCCGAACCCCCAGCCCGCGTTGCCCAGCCGCTCCCACTCGTCGAAGTCGCGCTTGGTACCCCGCAAGTACATCATGGCGTTTATGGACGACGACCCGCCCAACGTCAGGCCCCTGGACACCTGGCACCGACCGCGTTCCAGGCCGCCGAACAGGTTAGGTTCGGGTTCGGTAATGAACGTCCAGTCGATGTCACTTGTTAACGCCTCGTTGAACCTGAGCGGCATCTCCGTGTAATCCGGTGGGTCACCACCTGCCTCCAACAGCAGCACGTTCCATTCGGGTACCTCGCTGAGGCGGGCTGCGACAGTGGCGCCCGCGCTGCCGGCGCCCACCACTATGAAGTCGAACGTAACGTTGCCGGCGCCCGCGAACAGCGTCGGACCGTAGTCGTGCGGATACATCAGCGACGAAACCCCGTTCAACCGGCCCTGAAAACAACGACAGCGTTTTTCATATTATCCATACGGCTCAGCGAAATATAGCAGAAAAAACGAGAACGGGAAATCTGAATTTTGATGCCAGGATTGGTTTTAAGTTGGGCGCTGAAGGGCAATTGTTCGGGGATGGCAAAATTATCTCAGATAAAATAAACAAAAAATTAATTTTTTTTTTGTAAAAAGAAAGATTAATTTAAAAAATGATTATGTATATATATATATATTTTAATTCACGTGTTTATACATTTTTTATTCCACCTATAGATGTAGCGTAATCACTAATCACATAGGAAAATAAAATCGTTTGTTGGGTTTGTCGATTGTATAAATCATAAAAATAAAATTGGACGATATGGATTGTTTGGGTTTCTATATATGTAAAATTTAGAGAATAATAATTATGTGCTTTTAGTTTAAAATTGTAATGTTATTCATAACGTAAATACGTGATCTTAGTATGTTCCATATCACTGTAACTACTGTGATATTTTTACTAAACAGTTAACTATCAATAATATATCAATAATTGTTAAATAACTAATCTATTTTGTTATAGTTGTATAAAGTATGTCGTTCTGTTATTATTGTGTTTGATACTTTGAATTTTGATTGTAACTTATTATAAAGTAAGTTTAATTAGTTTATTATAAATTATAATATATATATAAGGTTTAGAAGTTGTTTTAATTGTATATTGTAGTATTATACTTACTTATTAAAAAACATTTATGCCATTTCATATCATCATATAATATACAACTTGCTAAACGTAATAAGTCAGTGTCTACTGCGTACTCAGTATCTACATAATTTAAATTTATAAGTGGACTAATAATTAAGTAAGAATTTGCTGTTTCTTTAAAATTTCCATATAAAATAAAATAAATAAAATATTATTATTAATTATACATATCATTCATTATTATGTGTATTATAGTAGATACTAGGTATATAGTACCTAAAATATAAGTTAGTTACTTGTGTTTTTTGCATAAAGAAAGTAGATATATCTACTATTAAAAATATTTAGAGAATACATACCTAGTAGAATTACTAAAAATTAACTGCGAATTATCAATGAAAATGGGAACCATAAAAAATAAATTTTTTTTGTGACCCTCATGAAAAAAATGTGGTCACTATATCTATTATATATAAAAAAAATTGTGTTTAAAAAGGGTGCTATTAATGTGGTGGTGCCTGGGGCGTAAAATTTTTAAATATTGTACAGTCCTGAACATAACTTATGGATTTTATACAAACATGAAAAATGTATTTCCTAGAAAACTTAAAGTATATTATAGATATTAGATTTGTAGTAATAATAAATAATAATAATGATTGTACTATTGGTCACGAAATAGGTGTTAAAAATAAAATAAATTTACCAACAATAATATGCACTATATTGAATGTTAGTAAAATTAGTATTTATAAAAAATTACAAATGTAATGAAAGATAAAAAAAAAATAATAATAAATAATAATAATAATATACTATTATTATAATAATAATTTAATAATAATAATAAACATACCAAAATCAGTTAATAATTAATAAATAGTATATAAAATACTACAGTAACATATTAAGCAATACAATACAGGAAAATTGTCACGGTAAAAACTTGTTTTCTTTGATTGTTATTAATTATTAAATAACATTTTTAACGCTCATATAGGCATGTAAGGTAATATTATAGAGCAAAATATGTAATTCATAATACAAATATTAAAATTGAATACTTGAGTTAACAATCTGTAATTTTAAACGGAACAATGAATTTATTAATTTTAAAATGATGTGCATATTTTTAATATTAGAAAAATGCTTTAATTTATAACTTTGAGGGTGGTTTCTAGTAGCAAATTGGTTCTAATTTGCACTTATTGGGATTAAAAGTAAAAAAATGCTCAATACTTTTCTAAAAATCCAGAAATTGCTGAAATTATTATATTTTTTAAATTTGTAATATTATTATTTATTATTAAAATAATAGTTGTTTGATAATCTTGGTATGTTTAGTTTGATTGAAACGGAAAACATTTAACTTAAAAATATGTAATCGCAAAAAAGCTAAAATTTTATAATAGTAACAATAGTCATAATAAAGGAAAGGTTAGTAAATATTTAATAATATAAGGTTAACAATATTTAATATTTGCACTCACCAAATACAGTATAGTGATAACTGTTAAATAAATAAACATTGTTTTGCGAAGTTGTCAGTTGATCAAATTACTTATGTTAAGTATATTCGTGCATTAAGTGTATACCTGCAAATGAAGTCGACTGAGTACGATTGAATCGAGAACGCGTCACTGCTTACTTTATATATTATGTTATTGGCATGCCATAGGACGGTGTAACTCAGTGTAAGTATATATCCGAGTTAAACACAGGTAACAATCGTTCGGTAAACTGAAATAATAAATAACATTAAAACGTGCAGTAGGTATAAAAGTATACTTATATTTATCTATATTATACTAGATGTTTACAATATATATGAACAGTATACCGCGGAAGTATTATTTTTTCAATTTATTGTTGCAAATTGGGAAAGATCCAACTATAGATGTATTACAGGTTATTACATTGACGCACATTTACTAAAATTACAACTCGCTTCCTCAAAAATCATTTCTAGTGCAATTACTCGTTTCCTCACACATTGTTGTTCCCATTTAGACAGACATAGGGCTATCTGTGAATATTTTAACTTCACTGGTGTGGTTAAAAATGTGTTTTTGGTGTGTGGTGTGTTGAAAAATATGTGTAATTAATTTTTACGGGTAGGGGTCATTTGATTTTGTTCTTTGTTTATATTTATTTTAAACTTTAATTATCTAATTAATTTAAATGGTTTACCTTGGAAGCAATCACCAAGTAATTAAATTATTGGTCAATTTCGTTATTTGAATACTTAGTCCATAATTTTCTTATGTACTCAATTGTTTGTGTAATTTATTTTCGACGATAATTATTAACAGGATTTACGTATTTGCATATAAATCTTGCTAAGTCATATTTAATACTAGATGACATAGAAATCCATTTCAAGCCTTCAAGGTAGGTACCATAGTTAATTACGTCAAGTTTTAATTGCATATTTAAAGGTTTTTTGCCTATTTGTCATATTTATGCGTTTTTCTATTTTATTGAGCGTATTTAGGGTATTTTTTGGGAAAAATTTGATGAAAATTGCAATAATTTATAATTTACATTATTGTATTGTATAAAATACCTAGCATATATCGCAACCGTAAGTTTATTAAAAATAAAACACAATAGTCACTATTTCATTTGGTTAATTAGCGTATCATGTCTGCTTTAAGCAATTAGTGAAAAACATGTTATACATAGTTTTATCTTCTTGATACGTTTACAATGGTTTATTTTCAACTGTTTTAGTCTTATATTTTTTAATCTGCATGCTTTAAATGCACAATTTTGGATTTTTGCCAGTTATTAGTGCATAAGTGCATGTTTAAAGCATACAAGTGTATGCTTTAAACATGCACTTACCCTGGTTAAAACCATTAATTATTTTATTTAATTTAGGTTCAGTTTCTGATGGAATGTTTAAAATAACATCAATAAATTGGTACACATGTATATAAGGATTGTAGAATTGATTATTAATAAATGCCTATGAAAAGCTTCAGCACCGTTCTTTGTTCTTGGTTGATCATATGCTTTTCCTACCCACAAAGATGAGTTGAAGTTCTTATTGGTAATATATATGATAAAAAAGCATAATCAAAGAAGTATAATCGATAGGTGGAACAATAGCTATTGTGTTTTAAAATGCCATTTCTATTTCTTCATGTGGCAAATACATTAAATTAAAAAAATAATTTAAGCCATTTACCTACCTCCGAATTATTATGTGTATACTCTCGTGACAATTTATTAATACTATGAATTCAAAAGAACCAAGATTGAGTCAAATGCAATGTATAACATATAATTTTACACCATAGAAAAATTTTTAAAATTGAGTTACGAGTATGAGCTAATCTTTCGAAATCAATGTAAATTTTTTAATAACAAGTTGCCGGCAAAGAATATGAGTACAAAGATTTTGAAGTGTTTCCCACACACTTGTGTATATCGAAGTATGTTTATCTTTTAAAAAATAAAATACTACTAGCAAGTAAAAATAATTTTCTAATATTTTGTGCGCAATCGATTGGTTCCATTTACAATGTCATGTGCAAACGTGTTCCAGGTTTTAGCTGAGAAATTTTAAAATGTGCATAAACTACTCGTAGTTATAGCCTTATTACGTGCATAGCTATATAAGAACGATTTATTATTACGTTAGAGATATACTTAAATTATTCTATCCGTGCTGCGAAATCGATAATAGTGTATACCTATTATTGTATAAGGGCAAACTACGGAAATTAAGTTAGCTCCTGCTGTTGCTCGGCGTCAGCACTTATTCTAATTTTTAAAACTAAAAAGTAGGTAATTACAACTTAATTATTTAAATGGCATATTATTCCTAATCTACTCCACAACACATTTGTTTATATAAATATATAATTAAGTATAGAAGAGTCTAGTTACGGTAGGTATCTAATACTATATAGGTAGTAATTAATATTGTAATCTATCCAGTGCCGCAACTAAGTTTTGTGAAACTTAGTGGGAGCAATAATTATCAGGGGCCTTCTACACTTACTTTATTTTAACAAATTACTGTTTTTTTTTTATTAGTTTAATTTTTTTGATAATATTTTGCAACGTATGCTTTGGGGTACGAAAACAAATCTTAACACGGAAATATATACATGTTTCTCTTATATATGATTTTTAGTTCCTTGTTTTATTATTATTAATTTGTATACCTAATATTTTAAACTTATAAACAGTACAGAAATGAATGAATAACTTAAAAATTTTTTTTCTTGTTTTAAAAAAGATAATATAATACCATTAGGTCCATAAAAAGTAATTTATTATTATAATTAAAGACCGGATTTAGCATAAAATGCATATTGCTACTTTTAACATCATATACATGCAATTAATGAGTGTCCACTAATCATTACTTGATTGATTAAATATCAAAATTTTATAGCACATATTTTTGCATATTTCGACGTTAGTACATGTTCTGCATATTTTTACATATTATAACAAAAAACCGTACAAAATAAATATACACTTAAAGATTCAATAAGGTGTTGAGCAAAAAAACAGATTATATTTACGTTTATTATATTATTATATTAATATCGAATATTTTATATCTTAAAAAATATTCGGACGCTAAAAATAGGTTTAGTTATTGTTTTTCCAATTAACATACTACATTAAATTTTTCATACTAATTTTCTATTTATATCAGTATATTACCGATGTAACTACTATTTAATTTTAATAAAATATTTTTTACAATGTATTAATGATTAAAAATTAAATCACAATTTAACAAATTACATTATTGTATTACATATTTGTTATATTATACATCTTATTTTTTGTTTATGAAAATTTTTTCATTTTTTCTTGTAAAAAAAAAAATATTCTAATCATTCACTCCAGAGAAGGTTTTTGGTAGTAAATTGTATCTAGTTAAATATAAGTTAATTTCCAAGTACTTACTTAATTTTAAAATAATATTATTAAATTTAGTATAGTCCATTGATCGAAATTTGATAAAAAAAAAAAACCGTTTTAATCATAAGTTCAACACGCATTAAAATATTACATTTCTTATCATACGCACAGTTTGTTAATGGCGTTTGTGCTTTTTTATGTTTTATTTGTGTGAACGTTTCAGGGAAAACTGGTACTTTTTCATATCTTAGTTTTTAAGTCTATAAGTTACTAATTATTTACGGACAATGCTTTTTGAAGTACATTTGAATAACACACAATATATAACTATTACTTTCTTTTATTAAATAAATTGGTATATTAAATTACTAACTGTTGTTAATTTAGGTAATATAAAATTACGATAAACTTTTTTAAACATTTTTTTAGGATTTATGTACTTAAAATTACTACTACGATTAACTTAATCATGCGAAACAGACATGAAATCGTAGTTCGATAATCTGAAGTAAAAAATTAGGTTTGTCAAATGTGTTATGCAGTACGAATATTCATAAATGTGTGTTATATGGATCATCATCATTATTTTTATTATGTGTACAAATTATCATGTCAGAACTCATTGAAATTGACTTTATTATTATAATATACATAAATTGTTATAGTGATATTATTTTATAAATTATATATTTTTATATGGTAAATTGTTACTGTTCTACCTATTTTCAAATGAAAGCGTAAAAAATGGTATACGCAATATACATATCTAACAAATAATAAATAATATAAAATTCAGTTACGTAATTATTGACTATAAGTATAAAAGTCAATTTAAAATTAAATAATTGACGTAGGTAGTTAGCTAAATGAGTATAATATTTTACCTGTTATTCTTGATTATTAGAGATTTTTCAAGTTTCAACAGACTTAATGAACAACACACTTTGTTTCAGCGTCTAATGAATTGAATACCATTTAATGATGTTTAATTTTTTTTTTTTTTGTGTGTAATTACTACACTCGAGTTATAAAATTATTTCCTACTAGCATTGAAAACGTATTTTTAACTCAAGATAAATGTCCTACAATTCTGAAACAGTTTTTTGATAACCTTATTTTTATTATTTTATTGCATGGTTATAATTTATTCGAAGCCAATCAATAGTAGTTAGCGACATAATAACGAGTGTTAAAAGCAATAATATTTCAGCGATTGAAGTATGTGAAAAACTGAAAGTGGTGCGTGGAAAAATAAAGAACAGATTATATATGAGTATACGACCTAGTACAACTGCAATATTCAATTTATTACCCCGTATTCACAACTTTTTCATAGTGTTGAATTTTAAAACTGAAAACAGAAATTAATTAATAATGTATAATGAATATTTGTTTATAGTTCTAAGAAAAAATAATAGTACTATTAGGTGAAATGTTAAAAAAATACAACATTAAAATGTCCAGGAAAAATAAATTTAATTAAACTTGTAAGTTTTAAATTAATAATAATTTATATCATTGTATTATATGAGGTGAAATCATAAATTTTATTACAGTATATAAACTACCTAAATATATCGCCACAAGTTACTCATAAAATAATAAAATTGATAAAATAACTGTCATTTAACATAATATAAAAAAAAATCATTAGACACACAAGAAACTCATTAAAGGATGTTTTTTTAACTTTTGTCAGTCTTTGCGTTGAAAAATTCTACAAACAAGTTTAAATTCTATTTATAAAAATAATAAAAATATCAGAATAAATTAAAGTATAATCAATGTTTTAACATTTTTACCTCCCAACAAAGTATCCAGTTGAATGGATTATTTATTGTTAGTTGCAACATTTTCGATGACACTTATATTAATGGTACTACTAGTACTCCATGTTTTCTTCAATTTTATGGAATATATTTAATGTTACTTTGAATGGCGGTGATTAAATAAATAATTAATGCGAAGAGTAGAATAATTTTTTTAGTATACTTGTTAGAACAATGCAACATTGTGTTGTTTAATGATAATAAAAAAGATATATTCCTTAACATTTTAACATTTTTATCACTTAGGTTAGGTTAGTTAACTTAAAAAGGGTGAAGTAATAAGAAAATAATTGTTTATGATATGACACAGATTTGGATTTTTACACTCAACATTTGTGTGAATGTATATGGAGAAGTTTTTTGAGGAGTGGGAGTAACAACTGTTCTGTTTTATTCATTTTCTTAAATTGATCACCCTAGTTTAATGCTTTCAATATTCATTTTAATAGCGTGATTTATTATTGCCTTAACATTAGATACGTGGCAGAAATATACATACAACGATATTTTGATGATAAATTTATTTTAATTAACATTGTGTTTCAGGAATTTCCGGGAGTTATCTACGAAAAAATGGTTAATATGTCGATCGAATTTTCGTGTTTAACGGGCCATCTACTGTATCATAATAGGTATAACATAATATATTATACAAAACCATTATTTAATACATCAACATGATGATATGATGACATTTTGATACGTTATAATTTATGTATTGGTATATGTTATTATTTTAATATCGTATTACGGACTGGTGGGTTCCACTAAACTTACCATCAAGGACTTGCATTTGTAATAATAATTAAAATATAAAGTTTAAATTATATATATTTAAAAACTATAGACATTAATATCTAAAATTTAAGGGTTTATTATTTATTAAGATCAATCATAATTCAACTATAATTTGTATGGATATTATATTAATAGGAATTAAGTTAAGTTATCTTATAATTGTAGTATTTTGGTTAATATTGTATATAGGTCGATCTTAATTTTCAAATTCTACGTATAAAATACATGTATAATAATCCTATATAACGGAGTGTCTTGACGTAAGACACTCATTATTTTAGTAAATGATACAATATTTTTAAAAAAACTGTTTATTTTATTTTATGATTACCAACTTTTTAAAATACAACATATAAAATCTAATACTCAAAGCAGAAAATATTTGCAGAATTTCTATCAATAAAAATTAAGTTTTAGATTAGTAGTATATTAGTTAAAACATATTAACTCCGAAGTTTTACGCATCAAAGTACCTATCCCAAAAAAATATTTATTTTAGGATAAGAAACTAAGAATGCTGTTATAAAAAAAAGTAAAAAAAAAAACCAAGATGATAATGATAATAATAGTAAAAATATATTTTTTAGAAAAATGTTTTTAATGGCTTTAAGTTTGTTAAAAAACTACTTTCAAAACCTTATAAGTTATAACTTTTAAATTAATGTGTGTATTACGTTAAATGGATCACCAGTTCTTGAGTAAAATGTAAATACAACAGGTATAACAGTTATATATAACCTTTAATCTAAAAATAACTTAAGTTGTGACCTTATTTTATAAGAAAAAAAATATGCACGAGGTATAACAACAAATGAATGTACTTATTATAATATATTATCGGTTTGAATGTTCTAAAATCTATGAATCAGTCAAGCTTTTTATGGTATTTTTATAACTATGCGTTTTGTTATCGACAAAGATCAGTTATTGTTCCATATTTCATATGTGTAGTATCATAACAGCTGGAAACTGTATGACATTTCAGAAAGAGAATCATATTATATATTTTATTATTTTTATTATTTTGTATACTATATTGTTGTATTTAATTTTACTATTGAAATTCATACCTTATTATTTATTATAATCATATTTAAAACTGTTATTAGCAATAAAATATTTTTTAAATTGTATTTTATATACAAAAAAATTTAATATAAATATGTGGTAAAGGTTTTAAGTCTTTACGGTTAAGTAGAATCGCAAAAAAAAAATTAATCGATTTAGTTAAAAATTTATGTAACATAAATAATTCTATTTTGCTGTATTTTTTGATCGTTTTTTACCAACTGGCGATTAAATCTAATTTTCTCCTAGAAACTACTCTTGAAGTTAAAAAAATTAAACAGTTTCACTCTATAAGTTAAAACTTGTTAACAAACAAAAACAATAATAAAAATTCTTCATTATAAAATACATTCATCAGTCTAATGCAAAATTTAAAATATACAAAATAAATGCAATTCTAAATAAATATAATTTTTATTTATACAACAATAACACATATTGTTGATCCGAATTTGTAGTTAAAACTACTTAATAAAATAATATGGTTTAACAAAAAAATTCCAATTTCAATTTATTTGCTTATAAGTATTTTTTTTTTATATTATTTTTTCGTTTTTGTTTACTTGTAATATCACTTGTACGCAAAGAAATAAAATTTTGTGGATTACTAATAAATAAGTACTATGCTCGCTTACTATATTCAAAATTGAAATAATTGAAATAAATTAAATGTTATTTATAAACAATAGTTATAAATAATAGTTTCACAAAAAACTACGATCTATGTTTAAGTGCGTTTACTAAGTATAACAATATTATTGTGTCGCTATGAAATCACAAAATAAAATTATTAACAGTTTTGTTTTTTTAATATAGATAAATAATATATTTTACATACTAGAATCAAACGTATAGTGGTAAAAAAGGTATAATATCCGATGGGTTAAGGACATGAAGGTGAAATAATATAAGGACCGGGGACAAAAATAATATAATATGTAAGTAGTATGTACATATTGTACATTGTATGCGCGGTAGCTACTCAAAGTGGAATACCAGATATGTATATATGTATAATATACCTCTTACCACAACGACTACCTTTAATCGTTTTTTGACGGGTCGTGAAAAGGAACTTCGGGTCGACTCTGTAGTCGTTATTGTTGTGGTCGTTACTGTCATCGTATCATTAATATATTTGATATTGTTATATGTATAACGAATTATTTAGACGCACTTGCCAAAACAATAGTTTTGGTTAAAAAGGTTTTTTGTTTTTTTTAGACACTTATGTGTACATTACGTTTTATTTTATTATTTTCCAAAAATTCTTTGTGGTGCCTATTTTCAAAATCTTTTCAGGGTGGTGGTAAAATTTAGTGAAAAAGGCGTAACAGAAGTGATTTCAACAAAACAATAACCCAATACTACCATAAAATAAATATATAAGTACAACGTATGTTTTATCAAAATAATAACAAAGTGCTATTAGTAATGATAATAAAAACAATGTACAGTTAATTATAACATTAATACAAAGTTAGAAAGTTTGGTATACATAAACCTTTACTTTTTTCCATTTTATTACATTAATACATTAGGAATAATATTTCATTCTTATATCAACTAATTTAACGCGTATACGTTTTAAATGATTGAATTATAAATATTTATTGTTTCATTCTTTATTTATTAGATTGTTTTAAAAAATATATTTTCATCTCGAAACTATTATTTTTAACATTTTTATTTTTCATATGTGTATATATAATGTACGATATATATATTTATTATTTTTGTTGAACTATTGTAGTACAAGTACATACACCTATGAAATATACCTATATGAAATAATTTAGAATTTGAAGAAAAATCCGAGAGAGACAAGAGCTATAATTTAATATAATAAGATTAAATTTATAAATATATAGATATTATTAAATAATTATGATATTTGATGTACTTACTTTTATTTAAATATCCGGATATTTAATAAAATGTAAACTGCCTTTTAAAATCGATGTCTTCTACACTACATACGTTTGTGTTGTTATTGTTGTGTAACACGTAACGCACCTACTAAATTATCTCGTTATATTATGTAGGTACAAACATATTATTTATTTATTTTTTTTGTCATTTTATTTGCACGAGTAGCTTATAAAATGATTGTTATTCGTCAAAAATGTATTTACTTTTTTTTTTAAATGTACAGTAACTTAAATCAACTAAAATTTATATTAATTTATAACTACAGCAGATTGCAAAATAGTTTTTGTCAAATAAATATTTTTTAACTGTAATTCTAACTTTGATTTTTAATAAGTGTTATGCCCAATTAAATATGCATTACTAAAAGTATACTGTATAAAAAAACTGTGTACTGTATAATACTTTTAGAAAAAGCTGGAATTTATATTGTTATAATATTATAACAAAGTATGAAAATTAATTATACTTAACAGCTTTGAGTTCTTTATTGCGTCTTCTCAAATTTTGGTGAGCATCAACTAGTTGTATTTTTCAACTTTATACTAATTTATAGGTTTATAAATAAATTTGCGTACTTCATTTAAAATATTAAGATATATGTATTTATTTATATAGTAGTTATTCAATGAAGTTTAAAGTCTTACAAATCGCTCAACGATTGCGTACATAATTTTTTAACAAATTTTATTCATTTTTGGAAAATAACGAGATCTATTTGAGAAAGTTATTATATAAATATTGTTTCAAAGTTAACTTGTAAGTTGTAGTACTTAACTGTATAGTAACTATGCAAATATAAGTTGCAGGCTAGCGGTATTTTACTATATATATATATACATATATGTTATAATAGCAAGTTACTTGATTAGTTTTTAAAAATTTGAGAAAAACAATAGATTCATCTATAATATTGTTATAGTGTTTTTTATTTTATTATTATCTATTTACATGTTGAGCGGTCACTAATGTTTCGCAGACATAAAAATATTAAAATAAATATATATGTAATGTTTATTTGTTTGTGTAGAGCTGTAGAAACTGACTAGAAAATAGATAAACCGTAAAATATCTAAGTAATGACCGACACTAGGTGATTCATCGGTACATTTCTGACGGATGGTTCGAAAAAAATTATTTTTATATACCCCGCCAAGTCTTCGGTGACAGAAAGTATACAGGCCAATATTCCGTAGTATCTGGTCGGTGACTTAAACGCAGCGTGTTTCATCAGAGCTTCCTTGGCATTTGTTCCAATGGCAGTCAAGTCGTTTCTGAACTCAGCTGAACCGCATAGATCTCATAATAAAACACAAAAACTATAATTATACAAATCAAAACTACTGCAGTAATATTGTTGAATCGTTACAAAGAAAATATCACTTACCGGGTCGGCACAGGATGAGGGTAAGCACTAAATTGTATTCGACTGAATCGAGTCTCATAGCTTGGTGACTGGCTATTAATGTAGCGACTATATGTTCAACGCTTGAGTTTGATCTATGTGATCAAAAAAATAAAACCAATTACAAATCGTCATAATTATTGCGACGATAACAACAGCGTTATATTTGTACAGTACGTATTATAAATTAAACTCACCCGGATAAAAGTGTTATGAGGTTTGTCGGCCAAAACGCCGCCATCAACATAAACGATTGATACCACGTTTTATTGAGTATTTCATTTTGATCAGCTTTTGGTAATATAGCTATCGATTTGTTAAGTCTGCATTGTCTGAGACTCGTCAAAAATATTTGAGCACCAATTTCGTATATGTATTCATCTAAATCATGAAAAAAAATGTACGATATATAGATAGTCACGAGTGAACGTTACTTTTATTTTTCACACATTGATAGATTACCGAAATTAATTTTAATTGCAATATTTGAAAGAAAATTAATCTGAAAACCTATTGAATTTTAGAAAAATTTAGAGTAAGAAACTAAAGACATTTGCATACAGACGACTTTATTGAACTTGTTGATCACGAAGATGATGTTAAAAACGAAATCATTAATTATTGTATATCTTACATTTGGTCTTCCAGTTTTTTGCCACGACGGTGTTGATTTCAGGTATTTTAGGTATTTTAGACTTTCTTGGACCTCGTTCGTCTTGAACGGCTAAAAGTAATAAGAATACCACGAAATCGGACAGTTAAAAAAATAACGAAGCCAATAATAATAAAAATTAATAAACTATGTCAATAATATATAATATTATGTAGTATCGTAATTTTTATATATTATCAGTGTACCTATAGATATTATCTGTAAACGAAATATTTACCGGAAACGTTCATGTTGACTCTCATACACTTTTGAAGTCTACAAAACGGACACCAATTTCTTCTCGCCTTGTCCACAATACACTGACCCGTGCCAGCTGAACACATATAATAGCAAATATTATTATTACAAAAAATAATAATTAAATAACAACCGTCTCAAAGCTCAAAGATAAATAATAAATATCGTTTCAATAAAAATTTAGTGGTCGGGATCGGGAAGTTACTGGTATTTTGTAACGAATTAACACTACATCGTTATAATTATTTCTCTACAAAAAAAAAAAAAGTAAATTGCTAACACATCTGTTCATTTTTTTAATGAAACTACGCGTTACATTTTCGCTACTTTTTAAAAAAAATTTTCTTGACTAATACACTTAACAAATATTGAATATATTCATTATTTGTTTATGTTTATTACCAAATTTTCTTTTATTTTTAGTCATTAGGCTTATCCCGTGTATCTTATGTAATCATTTATTTTTTGTAAAAAACTAAAAAATGTATTATTGAAAATTGTTAGTTGGTTTATAGTTTGTTTAATTTATTATTACTAGACGGGATGTGATGTGATGGTTGTGATGAAAGAAAATTACAAAAAATTGTGAGTTTCTCAATATTTTTAAAAATATTTTATGGCTATTGTATAATTAATAAATATAACAGAAAAATCTTTTAAATATTTTAATATAATAATTGTTATTCATTGTACAACATAAAGGTTTTAGACAATGACAAATGTCAATTTTTGATACAATAAAAATGAATCATAGCATACTACATGCTATTGTTATAGTATTTAGATACATTATGTGTATTATAGTAATTCTGTATTAATTTTTATAAATAAAGTAACGTTGCTATAATTATTAATGCACTATTCCCAACTACTCGATAAAATATAATAAATTATTATTCAAATTTTTTTCGTTATAGCTAATTTACCATACCGTGTGTAATTTATAATTTTATGACAGCGTTCACTTTTAGATACCTAACAACCAACGTACCGATACATGTGTATACGATCCTCCGCCTGACACTGCGCTTGAAGAAACAGGAACAACCATCGCAGCAGTAAACGCCGTAGTGTTTTCCTAACGACTTATCGCCGCACACCCGGCAGTACACCGGAATTGGTAACGTTCGTCCTAGGTACAATCATTTGAAATAAATCATGAATGATATAAACAAGAAATGAAAATTACAATAAAGCAGTGTAAGTACTTATTTGAAAATGATTGTTATTAAATTATATTGAAAAAAAAAACATTATTTTTTGAAATTCATAAAAATATATTTGTAAACGATGTATCTACACAAAGTATAGTATATGAAAATTAATGAAAATAATACACAATAATGCTGAAGAAATTCAGGAATTTTTCCTTTAATTATTTCTTTTTTTCAAATATCGATCGTTTATAATAAGTAATTACTACTTTATGTGTATTATAGTATTATCGCACCCAAAAGTCTAAAAACGTTTAACTTGAATAAACAAATAATTAAACATAATACATATATTATATTATATTGTTAAACAATATTTCGATACTTTTATGTAAATTTATTGTACGAGTCTTAAAAGTTGAAATAAATATACTACGTTAATTTAATAAGTAATTAACTAATAACTGACGTATGTGATAGGTATCGATAGACAAACACGTACGACATACCTATTTAATTGATTTTACGGACACACACGTCAATTAATACCAATTCGTAAGCTAATTTATAATGTATAAATATTATGGTTTTCAGCATATATAAGTATATAAATATTATAATATGATATGTATATTATGAAATACCTAACAAAAAATATGTTTCTTCGCTATTGTTTAGACACGCGTGCGTTATTATACAAACACCGTATATATCATTTAATACAGCACTCTCGGGATAACGACATCCGCAAATAATTGATTTTCGTTATCTTCTCCCCATGCGTTTTCATAATATGTATAAAATATTGTCATTCGTCATACCCATAAACGGCCATAACGTGTTGTGCACATACGAACCGTACAAGTCGTACAACGCGATATTATACATAATACCTACGCATTATTGTACACGCAGCATTGTCGTTATAATGATCTATAATACGCGCACTGCTGCAGTTATAGCCGTTAAAAAACAACAAAAATGAATTATGTCCTCGGGCATACTCCGAGACTCGTGACGTTTTTACGCCGGGGGGGGGGGGGGGGGGGGGGGGGGGGGGGGGGGGGGGGGGGTTCAAATAACTGCAAAAATAACGTGTACCGTGTGTACATAATACGTAATAAAATGACATGTATGGTAAATAGGTACGTGTAATACCTATGTAAATTGTATTATAATAATATTGTAAAGTGTAGACGAATTGACGTTTTTGTCGTTTCTTTCATGTACTTGACTGCCTGCAGACTATTTGATTATCTGTATAATATATTTGTTTACCGTGGTATTTAGAAACTAATAATCGTGTAACATTATGTGCAAATAATCTAATGCATAAAACGCAAACTTGACGTACGGCGTACGCCAGGTGGGGCGGTCGAGGTTTGATCAATCGATCGTTATAAATCATAACATAAATACACGAGGGGTGATAAATCAAATAATATCATAACAGTCTTGCATCCCGCCTCTCGGAAAATGACTATGTATTGAAATGTGGTAATATTGTAATATAATAATACAACCCATATAGGTGTAAAAACAATCACTGAAGACCTCGATAGTATAAGAATACATATTAATTAGTAACCCATCGTTTTTCGAAGAATTTACGCGGTTTCGGTTATCCGCGTTTGAGTCCAAAATAATTATACATTTTGTCGTTACTATACGACCGCTGTAATGTTTTAGATAATTGTTGTTATATATTATTTCGTTTAACTTTTATGTATATATTATGCGATGAGAAATATGTACATAATGTGAGAATGAGACATTTGTTTCTCATGGTCATAGGATAAGTCCTTCGTAATATTGTCGGGTTATATTAATACATAAGTATATACATAGGTTATATAAGTATTATATTATGAAGAAAGGATCTGCGAAACGGCAAACGAACAATATCTAATAGAGATCTATGTATCCGAGCTTATAATGATATCATGTTGTAATTTGTACTCACCCATACGAGTTGTAAGTATATTAAATAAACCGCACTTGATCCCTCTGTCCGTACAGCGGAATCGCGTATACACGAAGGCACGACAACTATTAATTAATGTTGTATGTCACGATCTACACAAATCTGTATTGTTTAATTATTAATTATTCGACTGTCTGGTCGTATTGAACGTCGGTACGTCCGCGATCGTTATGCACGGGCTATCGTATCTGCGACGGACTCGATACCTGTATGTGAACTGCAACAAAAGAGTTCTGTGTTTTTGTACCTGTGCCAAAGGGCAAAACGAAAAACATTACAATGGGAAAACATATACACGTCACATATGGTAAGGTAGTATAATATTATATTATTGTTATCGTGACATACACGGAAAACGGTTGTGTGAGGGTGGAAAGTGAAGAAAATCGCTGTTATTCGAAATCGGTAATGGGCGGATAATTGTGCGAGTGTAAATAATAATAATATACGTACAATCGGCCGCAAACGAGAGGGCTGTTGGATAGTTGCGTGGAGGAGGGGTGCCCCGACACGTTTTCTAAATTATTATTTATTCAAAAGCCATTCAAAAGTCCCTTCGAGGACGTGCGCGCGCGCTTGCCCGTCACCGCTAGTACATGTACTTATGTCCACGCCGCCGCCACGAATGTTTTCTCGCACGTATAGATATAATAGGTATATTATAATATTCTGCATTTTAGCAGCCGGGCGACGCCTGTTGATCATTGATCCCTCGCCCATGTCCATTAAAGTAATGTTTGCTTTTGCCACCTGTCAGCCAGATATCATAAATCCCGACGTCTGAATGTATCCATTAAAAAGAAAAAAACTTGAAAACCTAAAGGGTCACGTCGTTGGCATTATTATTTTATTATCATTATTATATTGTTATTATTGAGAATATACGATTCATTTTTTTTTTTATTTCTCACTTGGCAGTTATATTTCTTTAACAGTGGGTCGAACGTACGAACAATTTATTCGAGTTTTATTTCCTTTTTTTCAAGTATCATTATTATTATTATTATTTGAACGTCCAAATAACTGATTACATTTCATAATATTTCGATAGTCGAATGGTTCGTAGTGTTGGTCATTCACAAGCTTTGCAAAATTAATCATATTCCATACTATTCAATGATGCCTATTTTTGTAAACTATAACACTAATCGTTCAGAATTTCAGCTTTAATTTTTTCACAGAATTCCATTTTTGTATTAGGCTATTACCGAGATCACTAAAATGTATACCTATAATACCAAAAACTCACAATTACTTACAAAATTTGCAGAACGTATACTAATACTTCATCAATTGTTTTTATTTTAATAGTAATTTATTTAAAGTATGTACCTATCTATATAAACACAAAGGATTTATAAGAATCGATGTAAGACTTGATTATTTTTCTTAAATTCAACGTACGTCGGTTTTTCTTAGTTAATTCTTCTACTTTATTCCATAACTCTAATAATTAATACTTGATCAATATTTTTAATCACATTTTTAAGGAGTATGTCATTTTAGTATCTAAAAATAAAAAACATGTTTAAGTAACCAAAAAAGAAAATAATTAGAGTGTATATACAACAAAAGAGTTAACAATAGCTAATATTATTCAATACTTAATTACGAAAGTAGGAAATATTTAGTTGGCTATGGGAAATTGTTTTTTCATACTTTGTAAATTCAATGATTAATTTGTAAATTTCTGCAATTCGAATTAACTCAAAAAATAGGTAATAGCAAGGATTTTGATACATAAAAGTAAGTAGGCTAACTTCACGTGCCTGAAAAATTGCCTAAAATAACATTCAAGTTAAATTTAAATAGAATAATATAAATAAATACAGTTTAAAAAAAACATAAAAAATTTAATCAATATACTTTTTAGTAAATATTGATAATCATTTTTGTTTAAATTTAACACAAATTAATTTATTTAACGTATTTAATTTTTAATGTTTGTTAACTATAATAATATAGGTAAGTAATATATTAATAAAAATCAATGTGTGTGTGCGTGTGTTTGTATAAGAAGTAAACAATCTATATTCAAGTCTAACATACTTAAGGTTTTGAAATTTGATGTATAGATAATACTATGTATACGAGAATTTGCATATTAAAGCCAATTTTTTAAATTTTGTATTTAAAAGTGGGTTTACGCGGGGATTTGTTGATAAACGAAAAACGAATATTAGTTTGTTCGTATAGAGTACATAAAATAAAATAGTTATTATGATTGTATATAATTTTAGATCTACAATATATTTTGGTCTAAATCCCCTAAATGACTGTACATTTTATAATTAACTGAGTTTAAAACAAGGTAAAAACATTAACATTATTTAATTTGTCACGGAAAACTTCATACACACTAGCTTTAACTAATAAATTATCTATTATACCAAATCAAAGGCCTAAAACGGTTGACTTTTAATATTTTCAGTTTTCAATTAATTTTCATAAAATGTTCACCAATGAATTCAGCAAGATCTATAGTGTCATAGGCTTCTTAAAAAAAATCTTTGCTGTTTATATTTAATAGAGTTTAAGAAGAGATTTGATTTGTCATGAGCAAAGCTATAAAAATTAGCTAGTTTAATATAATATACAATATACTATAATAGCTATATAATATTGTTTTAATGAGAGCTTCATAAACTGATACAGGATTTAAGTTAAAAATGGTCTAAATATTTTATCAATTGATTGTTTAAATATTGTTTTATTAACGTTTTATTTAGTAATAATGTTACGCGGTTGATCCGTAGTATACAAATGAGGCACCTGCTTAAAAATATAAGTCTAAAAACCTACAATTTATATTACCTATACAAATTATAGATATGTTTGATTTTAAGTTAATATTCGTATAATACAACTTTCAAATAATCGTTTTTGAAAACAAGTTAGAATTAGAGAAGTTTTGTGAAATCTTAACCTCGTGTAAATTGCCAACAAAAATTGTTTTTAATGATTTAAAATAATGATACTATCTATATTGTGTTTGAATGTGCGTAATATTATATTTATATAGAATGTGAAACAAACAGTTTAACTTTGACTCATTAAATGTGTAACTCGTAATTATAGTCTAGCTATTTCGCTTAATTTAAACATAATAATAAATTTTTGTCATTATAATACCAAGGAATTTTATGCTCACATACCTATAATACTAATTAAACGTTTTAGAAATCGTTGAGATAAAAAAGTCATTGACTCTAGAATGAAAGAAAAATCGAAAAATTGCTTAAAATCAGTAATTGTTTTGAATATATGATATCAATGAATTATTATAATATGATAAAATTAGCTTTATATAATATTTCTTTTATTAAACTATAAATGGTCTAGAAAAATTATGTTTTTAAAGGTACGTAATGTGTTAAAATTTTATATTTATTTTTTTAATTATTATTAAATCATGATATTAATATGTAATTAAAATATATTACATTAAGTTCATTATTTATTAAGAATATTTCATTATTTTAATAAGAATTAATATTTTCAGATGAACTTTCAAAGATAAACCCTAATAATGGTAGATATAATAATTTATCTACCTATTAATGCAATTATTTGTTTTTAAGTAAAATTTAAAAGACTCATATTAAAAATAAGAGATATCTCTGATAACTCGTTATACTGATATAAGTACATACTAACATACTGCTAATAAAATAAAATATTTAGAATAAGTTTATATAAAAATATTATCGTGACATTTTATTATTATTGCATACATTTATAATTCTTGCTGCCGTATGTATAGCCGCTATAAAATAGTCCGTAATAATATTTGTACAAAAATGATTAGTAATATTATTATTGTATTCTACAGAATGCATGTGTGACCATTAGTAATCTATATAATACTCTATCATTTATTAAATACCAAGTGACTTTATTAACATTTTAAATAAAAACTTATTGCTTACTTGCTTACACTATAGTAATATAATAATATCATCGAATTACTAATCTATCCTCCAATTATTAAAAATGTATGTACTAGTTTTAAGTAATTATAATTATTTTCAGATTTTAAGCTTTCAATCGTTAATACATAGTTTAATGTTAAATATTAGTATTTTACCTTTGATTCTGTTTTGGTTTGTCTCAAAACAATTAAATGTTTTAGTAAATATTACAAAATAATACTGAAAATTCAATATATAATATAATACGTGTATGCATAACAAATAATAATAATATTTTATGGTTTGATTGGTTTGAACTTTGAAGAACTTGCGTATTACCGATAATCTATAGAATTGTTTCTTTAAAAACGTTATAGATATAGCCACATAGATCTAACCAAGTCTTTCAAAGGTAAGTTTCGTTTACCCATTGTATATAATGAAAAACGATTTTGATCGAAATTGTCTAAATTTTGATAAACATAGTTAAAAAACAATTATTTTAATAATAATATCGGATTTTTGTGAAAATTCCCATTTTTTTAAAATGTAATGTTTGTTTTTCTCGATAATAAAATGTATACATTGTATAAACTAATATAAACTAAGCAATATATGATTATATAATAAGTATGATTTGCATATATATATATTATATAATATAGATAACTATTTATAAAATATTAATACATTATATTAAGTTCAAACGTATCTAGTGATTTGGTAATTAAACAGAGTAAATTTGTTTAAAATCTTTTTCGATTCAACCCATTTGATAATATCTTTTTTTTTCATTATGCAAAATAAACATATATATTATGTGCTAACTACTAATGTATCTTGCTTTATACTGGAGACCTAATCCATATATTTTCCCTACACCATGGTAATACTTGTATATTATTGAAAATAGTGCATTATTCAGTCGTCGAGTTATTGTATTACCATCTTTAATATTTCAGGAGTTTTGATTCTTCGAAACCCTTTAATTAGGTGAATGCTTATAAAACCTCTTAGAATACGTTCATTACTAAAGTGAACATCAATCATGTTACCGAAAATTATCCAATTTTAACTCACGCTGTGGTTAGTTAGCATAGAAACGCGCAATATTTTAATTAGAAATGTACATATTAGTACTCAGTATATTGTACGTTGTTATACATTTGAAAACGGTTTTTTTATTTATGATCTTGATATAATTGTTTAATAATTATTATTAAATACATACATTTTGCCATCGTGTTATTTGAGTAGAATACATCGAGATTGATAGATAATTACCATAAATGTTTTGTGTGATATACTATATAATATACATAACTTTAGGGATAATGTTGTATTATAATTGATAGATATGCACCGACCGCATGCTCGTAGTATTTGTTACTAGAACAATAACATTACGAATTGTAATTTACGATGATAGCCATTTAATTGTATACAATGATTAAGTCGTAAATATATATTATCATATTTATAAAATAGTTATTTTTTTTTTTTACATTTCATTAAGTATATACAATACATATAAGTTAATAGTAAATTTACATAAGTACATAGAGAAAAATAGCAATTTGGCATTTTAAAAGTGAGGACACGCCAAGAATAATTTCTAATGTTTTGGTAAAAAACCTATTATCTAAGGTCCCGATAATAAAATAGTATGTACAATTTTTAACAGATAAATATAATTTTGTGAGTATTAAGCGTCGAACGAAAGTAGTGGATACAAAAAATATAAATGAATTAGTAAATCAGTGAATTTTAATGCTTATAGCGTATATTATATACATTTAAAAGACTAGACAAATTTCAAAACAACTAGTCGTTAATAAGTTCTTACGTCGTATATTCCATTTAAATTTTAAATGGATGTCGACTCAAAACTAGAATGCACGACTGTTACCGCAATAAAATTTAAATACAATAGAAATACACGATTGACGTGATAAGCAAATAACTTTTAGTCTTAAACAAAGTTATATAGGAAAATAGCGTGATACAATATTGTATTGCGAGTGTTCCAATAATGTGTACGTTTACGGTAACTTTACAGCATCATTATGTCATAATTTTTACTATACCTAACACGTTTATTTTGTCATATAATTTTGGTGTTGCAGTAGGCATATACAACGTTTATTAGAATTTATTAATTTTGTTAGTATTATTGTATATTTTAATAAGTCGAGAAATCATAAGAAATCGAACTTGTTGACTATATTGTATAATATCAATATGATAATAGTATGATAGGCTATACTATGTATAAGTATAATTATGTACAAAATCCAATGACGGCGGCTGCTGTTCAGACTTCGGTTTATATTTACAAATCGGATTCTAGGACGCCATCAATTTGTTGTTGACGTGCCCGTTCAACAGGTGTTGGTAGTTGTGAGCCGGTACCGGAGTTTGAGGAAGCGGAAAACTGAAGCCGCTTAATTGGGGATGATGATGGCTGCCTGCTGTTCCGGTGAAAAGGAAATGTTCTGCGGCCACAGCAGCGGCAGCCGCAGCCGCCGCCGAATCGTAATTGTGTTCGTGTTTGATTTCCACCGTTGTATGATGTTTATTCACTGAAAAAAAAAAATTATGTAAATTTATCTGTTATCAAATGGTCACGTGACTGATTTAAACCTGTCAGTTTAATATAAATTCGAAGACATAAAAAATGTAAAACACTCACAAATATACACGCAAGTATGCAGAAAATAATGATCGAATATGCATTTGAAAAATGTATTGTTGATTGCAATTTTTAAATTTTGATTTTATATTAATAAATAATACTTTTATCATACATTTTTCTATTTTACCAAAGAAAAGGCTCTAAAACGCTAATCAATGTATGCATAATATGCTTTAATAAATATAAACCTTAAAATATATAAAAATAATTTTGGATTTAGATTGCTCAAATTATAAATATTCATTTTTATAATATGGCTATATTTATTTAAATATATTTATATAAAGCATGACAATTTTAGAAACCTATAAAAGCCTAGTTATTACGTATAACAAAAATTTTATTACTTTTTTTATTGTTGAACAATTGGTAAATTGTTCTGTAAACTTATCTTTGTTTAGAATAATTAAATTGTTTTATAAATATTATACAACACTTAAAGTAAAGTATTGTCATTTTTCATACTATTTAATGTATTATTGAAATTAATGAATAATTGCAAGTTTATTCTTTTTTTTTTTACTGATAAACAACATGGTTAAAAAATGTCTATTTATCCTATCTTAAGTTTCATTTTACACTATATATCTATATTTGCAAAACTGCATAATTTAAGATATAAAATATTGTCCGCTGCTGCAAACGATAAGTAAAATCTGACGTTTTGAACCAACCATGAGAAATTTAACATTCAAGTGGTGTGTTGTCAATACAGCATACATATTACACATAGATAATAAATATGATTAAGTATTTTAAGTGGTTGAGGTAAGTTCTATAATTATTATAAATTTATTATTATTATTTAGTATTTATAAGGCCATTATATGAACGAAATGACGTATTTAGGATTGGAGGATGAATCGGTTGAATCAAAATATAAACAAGAAATCTACGTCTCATCGATTTGAATCTGTACTCAATGATTTAAAATCATATTTGCTATCATTTATCATTATATAATATTATTTATCACTCTATCACTATATTGCGGAAATGGAATGAACAAAATAATAAATATTTTTATTTCTGCAACTAATAGTTAGTTATATAAAACCGTTTTCAAATGTTTAATAATTTATTATATATTATAGTTTGGTGTAATCGAGTATTAAAGACGTTTATAGTGTAGGTATTATAGTTTTATCTCGTTTCATTATCATATTATATATACAACTTTAAAGTTTTAATTATCTACAACCTCTTATTTTTATTGCCGTTTAATATAATTTTAATGACGAGACGTCTCTTGATATATTTTGTAAACTACTATAATTTCTTTCATTAGTTTTTTTAACTTCAGTTCAATCGATCATTATATTTTTTTATCACCCGGTTACACGTTTAGAATTGACTGTAGTTACTACTCTTCACTATACCTATTATATTCTCAGCCACGAAACTCATGACTTGTGTTACCGTGTTGTATATATATATATATATATAAGTACGTTCTCTTACTGTGTCTTTAAAATTCGAAATTTTCTTAAAAACTCTCGTACCATAATAATATTGGCAAACCATTTTTTTTACTAACCTAATAGATCTATAGCTGCAGAAGTGGATTGTCTGTGGTTCTCCACGTTTGACGAGCCGTTAGAAGAAGAGGATGAGGATGAAGGCTGCTTCTTGGGTTTCCTTTTCCTCGTCTGGATACCATCCTTTCTCATTGTTAGTGGCCTGTTGACTCCGTGTAATTTGTAATACAGACCGCACGCATTGCACACGGGCTCGCCGTCATTGTTTCTCCTCCACAAGGTGGTCATTCGGGTGCCACAATTCGTACACGACAGACCGAGACGTCTGTTGGATGCCTATGGAGAAAATAAATTTAAATATACCACACAATTAATGAATAATGTAATGTATAATAAATATGAGAACAATAAATGGAAGATTGAAACAAGTCCGAAAATTGAGCTACCTGTAATCAGATATCTGAAATATCTGATATTTTAAATAAGTATAACATACTTATTATATTTATTGCTGTAATTGTATAATAAATCTTGTCTAAACATTGATTAGTTAATTGAGACGTTATTTTTTTCCAAACAATAATGACAAGAATCATTTAAAATTGTTAGTGTTAGAAAAAAAGAAATGATTTAATGAAGAAATTACTAAAAAAATAAAACCTATAGTTGTCACACGCGCGATAATAATTTAATTAAGGATGAAAACCTAGTAACAAATAAAATTCACAAACATTCTTGAGTAATGATTCTATTAAAACATGTTAATCGGGCGACGTTGAACTCGTACATCTGGATATTATTATAACATTACTAATTATTTAATAAATTATAAAATAATTATGAAAGTATGGTACAGGCGTAAAGATTTTGAAGACCCGTTAGCAACACTTAACTTGATTTTTTTTTTTTAATTGTAATTATACAATTTTAGTTAATTTCTGTTGAATTAAGTGATCAAATATAATAATATAATCACTGACATCGAAATCTATTTAAGATAAAGTATGTTTACACGTCATAATACGAAAATTCAATAAGAGTATAGACAGTATAGTTATGTTCTATAAAATATATAAATGCATTAAAATTTACTAAAAGTATGTGCGATCTCAATTTTCTACACTCTATCAAGTCTATCACTAAAAGTATAACTAATGTGCCAAAAATGTGGTTTGAAAGTATAACATAACTTCTATAACTACTATTTAACAATATTTATCGAATAATACCAAAACGTCATCGATGACGTATTATAAGACTTACAGTATTTCGCGTCCGTAATTTATAATCAATAGTGTATATTATAACGTACGCTATACTACTATAATAGAGGTATCTAAACTCACGGTCTCGAAGGCGACCAATCTTTTGGCAGGCTTGACAAGTGGTCTGTTCATGCCGTTCATCTTGTGATATAACCCGCAAGCGTTGCACAGATAGTGCCCGGTTCCATCGCGACGCCACAGCGGTGTGGAGATGGCACCGCAGTTGACGCATTCTCGGCCATCTCCGAACTGCAAATCCATTCCGGCGTCTAAAACACGGTAATTTTTATTAGAGTATAAATGCATTCTTGTCTAAGGGTTTCATATTTCTTCTAGATTAGCCATTACTGAAAAAAATAGCTTATAATTCACACGTTTTAATAAAAACATAATACAAATAATAAATTTAAAAAAATATTGGTAAGTTTTATCTAATAAATCACTTTTATTTTAAACAATATCAATAATGTTATTAAAACCAATATTAGTCACAAGGTAGGTATAATAATTTAAATTATACAGTTTACGGACAAATTTTGCATTCCGATCTCCACTAACTATTCTATTACATTATAATATAGATACGGCTTGTGTAGAATTCAGTGTAAATATCTTTATTAAAAACAGATGCGACCGAACGCTTCATGTGACGTGAAAACAAATGATAATTATAATAATAATAAAATAACAGAATATAATAATAGTATAAAAAAATAAAAATGTATAAATGTATTAAATAAAATAAAAAAAGTGAATAAACATAAGTGTGCGTGCATGAGTGTGTTTTAAAAACCGTATGGCGCCAAACATAAATTACCATATGAGCTTGAAGGGGGGAATGGGCGCGCAACCGGTTAATGCACTCGGGACTAATTGATCGTGTTTGGTCCCTCGGGTTGAGTAATTTGTCATGTTCCGATCGGATCGGAGGTCGGTGGGGTTTTTTAAAATATTTTTTTATTTGTATTCCATAATATTATATTATATACACCTACAATAATAATAACGCCACCGCCGCCTTCGACGCGCCAACACACAACGACGAAGACAACGACGTCGGCGACCGCGACGACGACAACGACGAATACGAAGAAGAAACCGGTAATCGGGGTCGTCGTCGTCGCCAGGAAAAAACGGTAGTCCATCGGTAATCGTCTGGACTGGTGATCAGACTTGTGAGACCAACACTCAAACATACATACATGCATATCCCTATATAAAACCTACTACCGGAGTATAATGCGGTGACATTTATTTTACGGTCTAATAAGTTATTTTTTTTTTTTTCATAAAATATTTTACGTTAATCAATAATCACAGTAGGTAAATGATTTTACCTACATAGCTGGTATATTTGAATAGAGCGTGTTGATGATTCTTAAAATAAACTAAATTATACTATTGTTATTTGTAATGAACACATTATACTTTTTAAAAAATTGATAAAAATATTTATTGCGTACTCACGGATTGAAATATTGACTTATTTATGGAAATGTTGTCGTCGTTAATTCCCAATGAACGATAATTCTGACGATTTTAGTAGAAATTCGCAATCATTAAAGAATTATGAAAAAAATACCAAGATGATTATATGTGTAAATCACGAAGAAAACCAAATAACCTATATCTCTATACAATATTATTATTTGTTAAATGCAATGACACTACAGAAACAAACACGGTTACTAAATTATGTTTTAAAATGTCTAATAGTTTTAGTTTAAAATCGGGACTATTTGTATGATGTTTATTCAAGAGTGCTAGATAATCTAAAAAAATATTAGAGATAAAGAAAAATAACTTATTGTATATGTGATTATATATCATGAACATGATTATTCGTTAAAATTTTACGTTGTTCAAATACTTTATCATAAAAATGCACAATTAATATGACGAGTATCCGATTTTAAATAGTCCACTCCACAATACATGCACATACACTATTGTACCTATACATAAAATAGATTTTATAGTAAAGTTCTTCGATCGTTCTCGTTTTAATTTTAATATATTTTTAAGTGAGTTTTTTATTTAATAAAAACTTACTAAAGATCTTGTAATCATTATGTCGAACATAATTATAGTATTCAAGTATTTTTACTAAGCATATTATGTAACATAAGTAAACAAAATTATTTTAATCGTGATTAGTTATAAAATTACAAGAAATAAAAATGTGTGTAATATATTAATACAAAATTACAAAAATACATATGCGATAATGTATAATGATTTATGATAATGATATAATTATAGATTTGATAGATAAACGGATACAATTTAATATATAATACATTATTTACTTTATTATTATAGCACATCGGTAATATTTTAAAACGATTAGAAATGTATATGTATCTACTTATTAAAATGAAAATATACTACCTACATATATGTATTAAATTGTTAGTAACAGTGAGCATGTAAATTGTAAGTACTAAGAGCATAAGTATATACTTCAACGAATATTATCTCACTTTAACAAATACCGATAATATTAAAATAATATTAACATTCATTACCAATGATAATTTTAAAGAAAATACATAGCTTATCAATATAAATTATCATGTAAAACGATAAAAACATGATGTGCAAAGAACGCTGAAGAAATGTACAAAATATAATTTTGACGAGTAATTTATAATGTTGTGAAAATTATGTTGAACGAAAAATAACATTTTTCACTCGTCATTAATGTTATTGCAAAGTACATAAATTATTCAGACGTATAGTTATTGTTCTAAGCCAAATATTTGTTACAGATAATAATATTAATTATACAAATATCCTGTATCTGATTAATCTCTATTATTTTCGATATTACTATTTCATACGGTTATATTAACGTGATTCACTAAAAATCACAATAATTCTCACGTTCTTATTTAAATAAGGTTAATGACCCATAAATAACCTTATAAGATTTCATACGTCATTTACCAAATTACAATGATTATAAAAAGTGATACGAATTTACTAAGATGTATTATGATTTCTTCCAGTTTATAAATAAGTGGCAACCAATAATTAATTAATATACATAAAAGTCAATTATCTGTGTGCATATTGATACTATTTTATATTTAAACATGTCGTGCATAATCTTTATATTGAAGATAATAATATTTAAACAAAACGAAAAATTAAATCAGAAAAATAGTTTGTATTATTGCTATAGAATACGTTTTTATGTATACATTTTGCATAACTGTTTAGACAAGTGATTTATACTAAGGGTTGAAATTATGTTTTAAAATACAATAAATTAAGAGTTTAAACATATTGAAAATATTGAGTCCCATGTTACGTATGAACTCATTAACTATCCATATCATTAAAACTTTAAAGAAAACTTATTAAGAAAATAAAATAAAACCTCACTTTTAAATTTTAACAATTATTATTAATTTTCATCATCTACAAGAATATAATAGGTATATCGGTTATAATTAAATCGATATTTTATAAATAATTAGGCATACATTAAATTTATTTAATTAAGAATAGATTTACATATTGACACTAAAGTGCTAAATTGTATTTACTATTCGATGTCTAATTTTTAAAGAGGATTTGAAATTTGAATTAACGTCGTACTATGATATTTTTATGTATTGAACATAAATAAAAATATTGTTATTTGTATATTATTAATCAATAATATAGTATATTATGGCATTATGAAATAGATTTGAATATATATTGCGTATCTCCATAATGTTTACCTTATATAATTTCAGTAAATATTATGTAGATATAAACGACAGTGCATTAAGTGGCATAATTACACTTATAAATTATAACAAAAACAATTTAAATTTTCGAAGTAAAAAAGATATGATATACATATACAGGCATAATAAACCTACAGATTACAGAGATCAATGAAAACCATCGAGATGTCCATTCACTTTTTAAAATTGATTTTAAAGTCTTTATCTAACTATTACCTACGTCTTTGTCTTACTTTTAATTAAAAACTTAATAGGTAATATAATATGTGATCAACTGCTTATAATATTTTCATTGGTATTTTATTTTAAATCGTTTTATAAAAATTATCAGTAACTAACAAAAAACAGTTGAATTATAATCGAAAATATATATTTACATATTACTCTTGTATCACATGCTTTGCATGCTTACCTAAATACTAAATAGTAAATATAAAATAATAATAGCACGTATAAATATATCATATAATTATAAATATATAGTGTTAATAGTGTTATCATTGAGTAATGACTTAAGCAATGACGTTTGAATTATATTTTTAATGGTCAAATTTCATATTTGGTTAAAGAACAAAAATACTAGACAGTTTAATAGTGTTTTTATTGAATTAACCAGTGTATTGAAAATTAATTACTTGATGATAATAATAAGAATATTCAATTGCTTGAAAATCACGAAACTATAAAATTTATTTAAAAGTTATTTGGTATTTTGAGTTATCCATTAATTCCTAAGTCTTATAAAGTTAAAAAAAATATTAATCATAACTATAAGAATAAAATATAGGGTATGAATAGAAAATTATTAATGATATAATACTATCTTAATTTTAAATTATAGTTTAAAAATGTTTATGATAAGGTTTTGATACAAAATGTAAAAATTAGCAGAACAAAAATTTTATTGTTCGATAAAATTATTAACAAATACAAATGTATAATATTGTAATCGGTTAAAATAAACTATGAATGATACATTTTTAAGAAAGTTTAGATAAAATTATTTTCATGACTATAAACAAAAAAATGAATAGTACGAGCAATATTGTATTTTGATATTAATAATTACTGTTATTAACTAATACGCATATCAACGTAATGTCTACATGCAAAATTATCTTTACAAAAATATGTGTATTTTGTGTTTAGATATTGTAATTGTTTCAGAAATATTGAAGTATGTAACTAGGTATAATTTAGAATTTTTGCCATGGAATAAAATTAAAAAACAGTTTTATAAAAAAAATGAAACAAAACATTATTGTGAACGGATTATTATCAGTTGTTACCAAGGCATGCTAGAGAGTGATACTGATAACCACAATTCCATATTTATATTTATTATGATTAAATTATAACTTAAATCATATTATTAAATTTAAATTATCTTTTTTTTCTAAACAAAAAATAAATACTTTTAGTTCTATAGCGAAGTAATTAATGAGACTATATTTGTTTTATAAAAATAAGTGTTTTAATTTTTTATACACCATTTTTAGCAGTAGACGTTTAATTTTGCACTTTGATGGTGATTTCTGTAGATGGAAAATCGGATCTAGTCGGTAGGTACTTAGGAAGGATCAAAAGAGATAAAGTTAGAATTATCCTCCAAATGTTCGAACTACAAATTTAAAATGTATTTTTATTTTCATTGCAATAAAGATCTAATTTTAAAAGGCTTTAAATAGCCTTTGCAGATTAGCCGGTTAAAATTGAATAAGGCGTTTTATAATAATACAATTGTAAGTTGTAATCGACATTAAGACATTTTTAACTCTAGCATTTCGAAAATGAGATTTTATCCGAACTTTTCAAACCATTTGAAATTATTCTCCAATATCGGAATATCGAGAAAGTTTGAGGGGTTCGAAAATCCGTCTTTGATCAATGTAATTCAAGTCGTCAAATGCTCGCAGAGCAAATAATTGAATATTTTACATTAAAATATATATATATTAAATAATATATCAACCTGCACAATGATAGAACGTTAAAATGTTATGTCGTGACGATGCCAAATCGTCAAGTAATATTCTAATATAATATTATGGTCGTACCGTAGTGATGGGCCTGGAATGTGGTGGCCGTGGGATTGGGCCACATAATGGCTGCGGCGGCCGCGGCGGCGGCGGCGTTCTGGTAGAACGGCGGGGTGGCCGTCGACGGTGACGACGACATCGGGACGACGTTCGGGTGTCCACCGACGGGAATCCCGCCACCGTTGTTGTTGGCCGGCGAACCGGCGGCGGCAGAGACGTGGTGACTGCTACTCTGTGCCCGGGCTGGCGTATTCTGCCACGTGTGCGTGGTGGCGCCTGGCACAGCGGTGCCGACAGTGGACGGCGGTGGCAGCGGCGGTGGTGGCGGTGGTGGTGCGCCGTACTGGTGGTGCGCAAGACCGAACATGTTAGGTTTGGACGACGGCACGTATACTATCCGATCGTGATGGTAATGACCGCGGTAACCGATTTCTGTAACCCGTAAAAAAAAGCAAGCGCACGTGTATAATAATCATTGTACACATAGGTATAGTACATTATAATATAATAATTTTTTTTATGCAGTAAAATCTATTTTTTAAATGCGTATCAGAACAAAACTATTACATATGTATATTACTATATAGGATGATACTTTTTAAGAGGTGACAAATTTAATAAATTGCTTTTTTTTTTCTTTTTTTTAATTCATTTAATTGGTTGTATTATTATATAATAAATAATATGAGTTAACCATATACTTTATACACTTATGGATTATAATAATAATAATAATAATAATAATAAAAATGTTATCGATATGTGTAATGAAAGCATATTCATCTAAACGAATTGTTTTGACTTTAAAATTACCCAATAAAAATTGAATTCGTTTAGTTCATTGGAAATCGCCGAATAATTATATAGCTCAAAATTCTATGAGATTAGGTTAACAATCTTTATTATACCAAATAGTAAATGTTTTACAGAGATTCCAATGACCATGATGCATTAATAAAAGTATATTTTACTAAAAAACTAAAAATATCGAGGAAGCCACTGAATATCTAATGTAATAGTTATCGAAAAAAAAGATGAGCAAAACAAAATTCTTAAAACAGATACCAGGCATACAGCTATTAATTTATGGTAAATGAGTAATCAATAAAAAAATATACAGTCATTATAAATTTCCGATTGTCAAAAAAGAAATATCGGTAACCGGACATGTTTCGCGCGTTCTTTAGATTAGATCATCTACTACAGCTGTATTAACTCGTACCTTTTTTAAAACTATACAATTACGAGTGAACCTCGTTATACTCAAATCAATTTTATAATTTACTTTTATATATTAATTTTAAGTAAAATCTCAATTTGTTTCAAATGTAATTCGGGTTCATTTAAATTGTAATTTATATCATAATTATTTCACATGTGTATTTATTATTTTTGTATTTTTTACCACATAAACATTTTACAGAAAAAAATTAACCAAATTATTTTTGACCTGATGGTTGTTGATATTTGTATGGAAATAATATATAGCTAAGCAGCAATTAACAAATTGCATTAAAATATTTATTAGTAAAAATATGGATTATTTATTTAGGTTAATTTTGATTATTAAAATATAACAATTTCAATTATATATACTAAAAATTGAAAAGATAATTATCTATTTTATTTTCATTTTTTTTTCTTATCATATATATTTTTTTTAACATAAAATAGCTTTTAACATGAATTATTAATAATTTTTATTATTTTGTACAATTATTTTATAATTGTTACGACTTGAGATCGAAATATTTATTATCAATTTTGTTAACTGAATTCCTAATTATAATCTATATTTTTATCTTTGTTTTTACAATAAAGTGTAATTTATAGAAACCATTATAAATTAGAGTATTAGATGGTTAATCTATGACTTCTTAATTTTTATTATAGAAAAATGTATCAACTATTATAAACGATTAACAGAAAACAAAATATAATATAATAAAGTATTCTGTTAGACGTTTATGTTAGTCCAATTTTAACTGAATATTTACAATAAAATAACACTGTAAATAATAATATCAAAAGTAAAGACAATTTAATTTATTGTAAATATAATTGTACTATAAATACTTAATACGTAACTTAACAAATAGTATGCTCCATCGATTAGATAACGTATAATATTTTACTTACTAAATCGAAGTACGTAAGGAAATCAAAAACAACTGTAGGACTAATATTTGTTAACTTAGTGAAGCGCTATTAGCATTATATTAATCATTGTATAAATAACTAATCAATTAATCTACAATATATTGGTATTTCAAACGTGAAAAAAAAGAAATTATAAATGCGATTTGGCCATGTAAAATGTTAACCACAATTTTTACTTCTATCATAGACAATAACAATCTTCTTTTCTTACCTTATGTGTGTGTAGTTACATATTATATACAGAGAAAAAACATACTCTTTTGTATAACACCAAATTTTAAAACGTAAATACTTAGAAAATAATTATTATGAATGAAATTTAAAGAGGTAATAAGAAATATAAAATATTAGCATTTAAAAATTTGTTAAAAATAAAATATAATAATTTATGAACTAGTTTTCTATGTGCGGTCCGAGAGTGCAATAAAAATGTTTTCAAACCAACGCAACGACAGCTAATCGCATACGTAATCGCACGCAGCGGACTAAAGATAATTGTCGCGTTTCGTCGCGATCTGAGATTGCCTTTAAAAATTAAAAATACAATAATATATCAATTGTATAATATTATAATATTATATATTGTTTGATAAAAGACGGGAAAACGATAGTCGGACCAACCAAACGCCGCTATCCCGCGTGATATTTTAATATAAATATTAAATTTATACATATTATTATTGTGTGTGTGTTAAGGTCTCATATGCACACACAAACCGTATATTATTAACATCAATCGAAATTATTATAACGCCCTAAGTGCGTGTGTGTGTGTGTTTTTATTGTTGCGAGAGCGGGGCTCGCGGTGGAACGACGTGTCAAAGGTCAAGGCGTAAAAATCAAATCGATAACGCAATACAACGTTTTCTTAATCGGTCTTATCGGCATTTTTTGATTTTTATAATGTATGTTTTAAATAGTTTTAATCATTACACGCACAGTTTATTTCACTTATGTATATACAAACCGAATCTCAGCCAAGCCAACCTATAAATGCGTACAAATAACGATAATATAACTACACAACTTTCTAATTAAGATAGGATAATGGATAAATTTGGACAAATTTCTACCCTCTCCCTCTACCCCATCAATTATCACAAGCCTTTACGAAAGTACATTTATTTTTATCATTATATTTTCTTAACAATTTGCAAATGATAAATTTGATCTGCATACCTACTATTTATTAAATAGTATGAGGAATACGTATGTGTATCTCAGATAAATATTGAAAAAAGAAGATACTTGAATAATTAGAAAAATAATAATCACAAAATCTTGTAGATTCCACGATATGATAATAATGAAGTACCTATTCTAAAAATACTCAAAATGTCTTGTATATTTATTTTGTTGTTAATAAATTTACCCATATGAATACCCTTGTATAAGAATGAGTTGATTTCTCGACGTTTTGGTTAAATTTCTTATCTCACTCATACAAACAGTTAATTATTCAATTAATATTGAAATATTTTAAAACATTTTGAAAATATTCATAAAAATGGCACATTCTCGGGGCCTAGACGTAGCACAGATATACTACAGAAAATCGGGATTTTTAGGTAAGCTCATATTCATATTTCATATGTGGAGGCCTTCAATACCTTGATCTTAGTATCATCATATTATTTATTTGGTGATTTTTAGTAACATAAAGTTTCTCTATCCGTTATTGTTCTGAAGCTACCTGCCGATAAAGTTATTTCCATTGTATTATTTCACTCCCTTTATAATTTTTATTTCATTTCCACCACTTTCGAATAGCTAATTAAACAAACTAAATTATGAACATAAATATACTGGTGAAAATCTACATACGAGTGATATATATATATATATATGTACTATCTTTCTTATATAATAGATATACTTATAAATAACTATTAACTTTTTACGAACTCAATTTAAGGCATTATGAATGATGAAAATTAGGTATATTAATATTGAAACCTCTTCAATGAAAGAAGAATCGGTGTATAATAAAAAAGTATCTACTGTGGTGGAGTGTCTACATTATTATATATATATCTGTTTCAATTGAGTTGAAATAATAAATTAAAACGTAGAAACGCTGAGGAACAAAGTGGTCAACTATTTCCGGTGTAGGTACCGCAGTATACTTATATATCAGTCGGGCGCTAACACACTGACGATAATTTTATGAAATAACTGGAAAATTGTATAAAAAAAAAAATGACATTCAAGTACAACCCAACCAAACCGATACTACATGATACGAGATTATTAAAAATTATTTATCTGATGCTTGGCACCTGACCTCCAAGTTTACTTTATCTATTATTCAACATGATAACATATTTTGGAGATGTGTTTTAAAGATACTGTGAATATACCTTTATTGCCATTAACTATGGAGGAACTATAAACAATTAGTAGACAAAACGAATAATTTGGTGGAGCAAGTATAGGATAAATTTGGAGTTATATTATTTTGAATATGTATTTGTATTTAAGTTAAATCGTATAGAACATTTATATGTAGGTACTATAAAATAAATTTCAACTATTAATTATCATTGTAAACCGAAAAACTTAAAACGTATAACCATTTATAACCGTATGAATCATTATGGATAACCCTGCAGCATGTGTGATAATTTTATTACGCCTCGTATGGATCCGTCTTCCTGCCGAGCGGCTAGTTTAATGACGGTCCTTGAGGAAACGATAGGGCAAGGGGTGAAGATGACAGGTCTCGGTTGTGGTGCGGATACACTGGATGGATATACATGGGTTTATTATACGGGTAGGTACTTACGCGTGTCACTGGAGACGACACCTGCGTTGGCGCCGACTGTACTCGTTGACGAACATTGGAACATGACTTCATCGCCTGTTCACGGGTACCGAGAGCCACGGCCGATTGTCATGGGGACCACCGTGAATTCTTCGCCTGGTCAACATGAACACACACAAAAATGTTATACTTTCATGAATAATAATAAATAATAATTATTATTTTTACGAAATATAATATCTTAACTGGGCACTCATCTTGCGAAAACGTATAATGTTTACGTGATGCGTATATATAAGAAATACCTATCTTTATATATATATGCGTGTGTAATAAAATTAGGTAATAGATTTATAATATATTATGAGGATAATGCGTAGTGTACGGACGGGACTGGCTAGTTGGTATTATGTTATTACTTATTATCTAAACTTGCTACGACATAAATTAATACAAGAATGAGGGTAAATAGTCATTCGTTAACATTGCCGCGGTGCACGTTATAAGATAACCGACAAATAACAATAAACGATTATACGCGTACATATATTGTATTTTATACAAATAATTTTTTTATAAATAGATATAGAACTACCAGAGGTGGTGGAATACCGTATGACACCGTTTTCCGGTCCAAAGGTGTATGCAATATTATTAAAATAATATACACGCGAGCAAACGCTTTGTATGCTTTCGAAAACTCGCTACCCGAAGACGGGCGCTCGGCCGTCGCTGTCGATCCCAGTCCTAGGTATCTATCTTATGTTAGACCGATGACTGAATTCACGGGTCATCGCTAAATTTAAATCAGTGTTAATAATTTTTTGTTAAAAGACTTTTGATAGAAACCATAATTGAATAGTGATCATGATTATGTCAGTTATTACTTATTTTAAATAATATAATTTGTAAAAATCATAAATAACCGTAAGAAGATTCTGAATTTGTTGATCGAATTGTAGGTGAGTAACACCTTGTCGGGATTGTATTGTTTACGCAGATATACATAACGATGCATTAAATGTCGTATAATTGCATCGTCCATTGTAATATTTTGGTAGGAATGTATTAACTCGTAAAAACACGACTCAAACCTATGTTTTGTACATAAATAATACTATTATATTACATTATAGTATACCAACATAATATATTATTATTACTATTATTAAATATATATATATATATTATAGAGGTGCGTGCGTGTATGTGTGTGTGAGATAAGCTTTTAACGAAGGGTTACGTCATGGCGACAAGGTATACAATCGCCCGAGATAAGTATAGGTTTCTATAGTGCTGCAAAATATGCTGGTGCACAGGTTCGGACAATTAATGTCGGTGTGATAAGAAGGCTGTTTTCGTGTACATGGATTTAGATAAGGTAATTCGGTGTGGGACTGTGGGCATTGTGTTTCGAAGAATAATTAACTTCAGTATACTACACGGGCTGGTAGGCAGGCTGGCAGGCAGAGGCACAAAGGTATATGTGTACGCGTCGGCGCTTCATCGTTATCCGGGTGCCTAGGTTTTTTTACATTATACATATATTATACTCGTACTACTGCAGGCGATAATGGGTAGTATAACTTAAACCCATCATCATAATGTTATTAAAATATACGACATAATGTGTTATCACTGTTATCGTCGATATTGTAAGTTAAACAATGATGGTCAGCTCTCTGTGAAACGACCAAACGATAAAAGAAGTTTTCATATTATAATATAAAATATACACCTCGCGTTACACTGAAAAATCTGTTATAGTTCACACCCTTTAATTTGAACATTTTGAACTGTGCTTCATGGCTACGAGACGAGTACTTTTGTGTACCTCCCCGTGTCGGCGGCGATCGAATTAATATTATATTAAAATATATTTATGGTCGATGTTGTCGGTGCAAATAATAAAAATATTATTGATTTACTACTAGCCTACCCTGCTACAAATTGGATACGATCTAACAATAATATTAATGACAATAATTCAGTATACCTGTAACGTACGTGTTTCGTATATATTTTGGCTTTAACTGTCGTGTTGCGATACTGTGGAAGTCCTCGAAGTTTCGCCTGGTCAAACGATTACGAGTTAACGATGTTTTAACCGATTACTGGTGAAAATATTCCAATGATTTTTATAAACTATTATTTCAAACGAACAAAAAACTAAGAAAAATAATTGAGTATTATATTATATTGCACACGTAAACGTTTTGTACAGCCTTCGAAGGTTTTTATCGTTCTTTGCCGGACGCATATACGATTGGACAGATGCAGTGCGCAGTGGATTGGGCACATTAATCTAATCGTTTAATAGGTTACAGAATAATCAGATAGATGTTTCTAATCTAACAGTTTGCTGATGAATAATAAAAACCTAAGAAAAAACCTCGTTAAATTGTTATTCTTCATCGATATGCACACACACGCTGAAAAGAAACTGTTTTCGTATTATACGATTGTAATAATGAAAGCATCAAATAATAATAATGTTATGTATATAGTAATGCCCGGTAATGGGTAGTGTGGTGGTCATCCACACGTCCGTTTGACCTTTGCGTCTGACGCGTCTGTCTGTTACCGATTACTTCGGATCGACCAAACAAAAAATTACTGAAAAATAAACGCAATAGACAAAATTCGTTCGACACTATACTAAAAGTACGATAATTTAATAATATATATAATGTCAATCATACGTCGATTATAAAAAATTTCTTAATTTAAATACAGGTTTATTAATATTATTTCATAAATTTATTTAAATTCACTTTTCGTATTTATTGGATAGACCTAATGTGTTTTTTGCAAGGTGGCAGGTCATTGATGATTTTACTAGAATTTGGAGTTATTATATCGGTATAATATACTATATTATACGTTTGACCGTCGTTCGTTATTAACGTTTTTTTCTAAATAAATTATATTTTTATTTGATTTTGTAGAACGAGCATATTTTTTTTAATCAAACAACACACATTAAGACTTTGTATACATAACATTATTAACTATATTATATAGTGTGAGGTTCAAAGTAACAATATTTGATATGTGTATGCTACTTATTATGTTATATGTTTAAACTATAGTGATATTTGATTGTATGATTAACTGATATCAAAAATAGGGTACAATGGGTATTATAGATTACACTATTTGATTAAGTACTAATACGTATTCAACATGGAGTTTTCAAATATTTGTCCAAAAATTCTACACACCAAATACCTACAATATGGGACCTTGTCCGTTTTACATTAGTTTTTATTTATATCAGTTACATTAACGAAAAAAAAAATATCTTATCAGTAATATAATATTGTCACGTACACCGTTGATTACAGCAAACGTTTAATCTATTTGAAATAAATTAAAGCGCTTTCTTACGCGCGCCTAATTCTCTCCATATAAATTATAATAAGTACCTACATGTAATATTAAAATAAGTAATTATAGAGCAACGAGCATAATCTATGTAATAATAAAATGTCACGTCATTTATAACTATTCGAAATTGATCATCGTTTATTATTAGGAAATTAACCTAACATCATCGATATCTAAAAAATGTGCAATTTAAGATTAAGATAATAGGAGATAGAATCGTTTTTCTAAGAAATGATAAATCAAAATTATAATTAGTGTCTTAGTGTCGAGTAATAAACTCCGTATCGTTATAATTCCCCCCAATGATATAATTTAAATAATCTGTAATTATATTTTTATTATCAGTTTACAGTTGAAATAGTCGAATTAAAATACCTACTTTTAGGATATTGTTTGTTTAGGTTTGGTTTTATACCGCGGTAAATTGATTCGCCACGGTTACAACTTACGTTAACACGAATAATTTTAAATTTTTCTGTTCGATTTTAACTAAAACTGACTAGTGGACATATTTTTAAAACGATATTTTGTAGATTCTGATCTGGACAGAGTGCGCGTATTATCTTGGCAACACGAATTGGTTTTATTCGCATAAATATCAATTAAAACTTGTACTAATAAATAAAACATTGTATGTCTATACAATTAATTTGCATCACGACAACAACATTCTAATGTCAATCTAATTGATATTATTATTGTCTAATATTTATAAAACAACTCGGGAACATAATACATATTATTATTAGGTACGACGATTAAATACTTTGAGATAATATTATGTAATAATAATAATTTATGTTCACAGAAATATATGACCAAACAATTGGACACATACGCATTAACACTGTTCGCTTTTTTTTTTTTTTTAGTCAAATAATCAACTTGATTACATACAATATTTTTAAATTGTACGCTATTTTAAACGTTATATATTATATTATAAAAAAACCATTTGTACTGAATATGTTGTTATATTAGCCGTCATATGTTATGCTTTCGTTTGATATCCAAAAAACATATTATCATACATGCGTTCGGGCTCGTAAAAACGATTTTAAACTGAAAAATCGTTCACATAAACATACAAACAACAAGGATTTAATATATCTGTAGGAGTTACCCTACTAACATTTTAAAGTATATGTAATTGTGTGTTCGTGGTCTATGGGTGTACGTTCTGGTTACTAAAGATATATGTAGATGTGTTTACGTGTGTGTGTAAATATGTACATAAGTATGTTTAATAATGTGTATAACTGAGTCTATATTATTCTTGTTGTCTTGTAGCGCCGATCTAATAAATAAAACCCCATCAGTGATTTGAAAAAGCGAACGCGTGTCTTGGGCGTAATGATATTTTATGGTTTTGAGACAAATACAATAAATATTGGAGGCTATTTAAGTTAGTAACAGATTAAATGTGCAGAAATTTGTGTTTTCGTCTTATTATGTATTGTACAATGTCTTTTAGCTCAATTTTTCGAAAATATACACGAATTGCAATTATACGTTCATACATTTTATTAATACTATTATGATGAACGAAAAAAATAAACGTGTTAGGTAATTTATTAATTCGTATTTTTTTTAAAAAAAATATTGTGTTTCTATGATGATGAAATTTACAAAAATTAAAAAATTAAATATTACGATTGAATTCCACATAAATGAATAATCGGCGTGCAGCGCACACATATAAAATGTTAATATGTTATAAAATCTAAACAGTAAACAGAGTTATTAAAAATGACTAAAAACCTTAGTACTATTAGTATACTTATATTTATTAGGTTTAATGGAATGATTACCATGCTTTTACTAGACAATAATATTATTAATTTATATTTCTGATTCAAGAGATCAATAAATAAATCATTGAAGAATATTTTATGTGTATGTGTAAAATTAATTGATTAAGTCTGTATTATTAATTTCATAATGATTTAACTGAGTTTACCAAACATTTATATAGTAATAAGTAATTAAAAAATGGAAAAAAGGTAATAATATACCTATAGATAATGAATACAATACCATATGAAATATTACTTGAAGATATTTTCGAGCTATTATATTTAATAATTAACTGTACTTTGATCTTAATTTAAAAATACAATTTGAGTTCTTAAGGTAACCTTTTATTTTAAAAATATATTACAATCTTATGAATTTAGCATTACACCTATTGATCCCAAAATCAATATTAATTATTAAGCACGCATAAGTAATGAAAAAAAGGAATTATAATTATTTTTATCTGTACATATTATAAAATATTTGATAATTTGAAAATAAAATTTAAATACTATATAAAGTTCGATGTTTATATCATTATATCCCATCTAATATTATAATTTAAAAATATAATATCAGTCATCAAATACATATTATAGCTCAATAATATATTATCATTATGGAGATAAACTTTAATAAATTTCAAAGTATTGTTATGACGTTATTTAACACTTTTTTTTAATAATATTAATATAAAAATATGACACTATCATACAAAATTTTATCAGATTAGGACAAGACGATAAATGATTTGATAATCGATTAACAGCCAAATCATTGTATATAATATTTTTATCTTACACGGCACAGAAAAAAAATGTGATTATTACCAATATGCTTACAAACATTGTTTATCTATAACCATTGTTTTTATCACCTTATCATGAATTATATCATTTGTAACATGATCCGGGTATTGATCTATGTAGTTATGTAGATTGCAGATAGAACAGTTTACTGTCTACGGGATTTGTCGAAATGATTACCTATAATATATGACTGCAGTAATGACCTAAAATAACTTACCAAGGCCATAAGAAAGGTGTTGGGTGTAATAAAATATATGCCTGTAAAACACATGATTTATATCATGTATACGTAATATTTATATTTATTAATAATCAATAAGAAACGTACATTCGTACTTAATATTTCAATCTGATGATTAGTTATATGACTTATAAAAATATAAAAAGTTTACCGAAAATGGATGGCGTACTATTCATGATATCGATCATGTTTAATCTATAAGTACTATTGTTTATCACATTGTTCTATAAAATAAACTGACAACCGATTTCGTGCGATTATAGTGCGGAAAAAACACGTTTTTAAACAAAAAGAATCATTTGCTAATCTATAGACAAGTGACGTGTTTTTTATTATTTTAATACACATAATATCACTTCGACACTGTTTTTAAAAGCATGCCATAACCTATAGAAAATAAAACTATACAGGACAAGTTTTAAGTACCTACATCTATATCATTGGTGTATTAATATTCAGCTCAAATCTAAAATTCTTTGCATCTTTTTCGTGTATATTATAATATACAAAAGGATAAGCTCGTATTCTGTTTTTAAAACTTGACTACACTATGCAAGCATGTGTGTGTCATTAACAGATTAACCACAAACATACACAATATGGCGTATAAATAATAAACTAACATTGATATTATTAATGTGCGGGCCAAGATGATTGTGTTAGGATTTATAAATTAAATTTTTTAATCTTATTCGTGTGACTGCGCAAACCGGTCCCATCAGTAGCGTGATGTTATTTAAATAGTCGTGACTGATTTAAAAGTTATTTGAATAACATTTTTTTTTTTTTTTTTAACAATCCGTCAACAACCAGTGAATCTAACCTAATACGATTTTAACGATATGAATGTATTGACACGGAGGTTCTTGAATGAAACATTAATCATTAGAGTACCACTACATAAACCTGTTAAGTTATTTACTTCAACGCTAATTATAATATAATTATTAGATCAGAAAATAAACATTTGGTAAAAAATAAAAATGTTCAAATGCAATAATTGTAAATTATTAATAGAATATTATGTAATGTATAATAGGCTTGCCATTCGTCC